TCCAAGACATGAGAGCACTAACAGCTGAAGGAAAAGCAGTGACATCATCCTGTAAGGTGAAGCCCTGTAGACCTGCTGCTATTGCACTGAATGTGGTGTGCTAGCTTTATACAAGAGCATGGTGCCAGCTTATGGCTGCTGTCTGTGTGCAGAGGAGGGGAGGGCTCAAGGGAGACCCTGGTGTGGCTAATTGCATTCATTTACTGTAGATTACAATTATGATAGGGGAGTTTGTGCTAATGAAACTCTGCTTTCAATCTGGATTATGTGTATTAGAAGGTCCTATCTAAAATCTAGTAACCCAGGATGGTGTGGGGGACAGAAGGAGTCAACAGGAAGAAATGTTTGGATAAGATGTCTAGTTTAGGCCTAGGAATTAAGGAAATGTTTGGGGTTGTGTATTAGCATGTTCAGTGTGGTCTTCATTGTTTATTTTGACTTTTCCATTCCACAAAGTTAGAGACTGTCAAAACAGGGAGTGCTATTTCATCACGACAGGAAAAGACAAGCCGATTAAAGTTTGCTAAAACATGAAGCTGGATATGGAGACATCAAATCAGCCCATTTTTTCAAAAGTTGAGTCTAATTTTGGTCTTTCAGATTTGGGATATGATCGAAGGCCTGCAGCAACACCACTGCAAACTGGCAGACTAGTGCTTACATAGCCAGAGGAATCTGGCAGAGAGCACTAGCCCTTGCTTCACCTCCTTCACAGCAGGTTTGCAGCTGCTGGAGTGCAGACATACTACTAGCCCAGAATAAAAGGTCCCGGAGTGAAGAAACTGTGCCCCAGATTCTGAAAGATTAACTAACACTGCTACATCCTGTTCAGGCACCAAAGACACTGCAGTCATCCTATAAAGTTGGTAAACAAAATGAGGATTTAAGCAAAACAGGTTAGAACTGACATATTATATGATTCTAGACCCTAAACTGGAGGCAGCTTTTGCAAAATTATCATGCTGTGCAACACGTAAGAAAAATATCTGATAGAACATCAGACAGAGGAGAGTTTTAAGAGAAGGAAGAGATATTTTCCATAAATATTGCAGATATTGATCCTAATCTGAAAATACTAAAAGGAAATTCTGCTTCATATAATTCACCTTTTAGGTACTCTAATCTCTACACACTCCTGTTTCTACCAGAAATAGTCTGTCTATCAACAGACTTAAGTCTGCAGCTGATCTGTTCCTTATTATTGAGAACTTAGGTGGTCTATACCATATATATGGGGTTATTTGACTTTCATTTCCAGGAAATTAGTTTATTGCCTGATAATTGAAATAAACTAATTGCCTAGCAACATCCTTGTAAAGCACTGACAACTTTAGCAGAAAGTTAGTGGAGAGTTTTTCCATACCGCATAATTCACTTGAGTTAAAATTTGTTCCACTCTTGAGGTCCGTCCTGAGACAGGAGTGTATAGAGCTCCAGCAAGAATGGGGCTCACACACCAACATTAGAGTGTATTTGTATCTTGATCTCAGTGGGATGATCTCGTTAAGGGAAGCACAGCTGTCAAGCACAAACTTCACCTAAGCGCAATTTAATTCTGCCCCTGGTTTGGTACCTTTCTGAAGTCTCAAGTGTGCCCAGAGAGGGCAAATTTCCCCACAATTGCCAAGACTAAAATTACAGAAAATACTGGCATCTGCAACAAGATTGGCTATGAGGTGTGCATGCAAAAAGTCCTTGCATCATATTTACACAAGCATGTTCAGCATTAGGGTGGAGCAACAATGAGTCAAAGAGATTAATTTAATTTGATGGTAGATAATTAAGTAGCCTAGAAGTGCAGTTTGAATCTTCACATCCTATATTGGCTAACAAGTTGAACTGAAGCAGCTGACTGTTGGAACTAAAATTCCTTCTATATGGTGCATGTTGGTAGTAGTCATTCAAAATTATTCAGCAAAGATAAGGACATTACATTTTGAGTTTTTCTTCTTTTTTTCCTTTTTTATTTTTATTGCTCAGAGAGTTCAAGATTGGGCTGATACTCAGATCTGTGTATGATACTGTATTATAGTGACCCAGAAGGGTCTGACACATTTGACAATGTCTTTCAAACACAAGATTTGACTGAAACAACATATATTTCTGCAGCTTTTTGCTTCAGAATTTAAAAATATAAAGCTAACTAAAACAATGTAAAGATGATTCCATCTAGATTATAGCAACACAACAGAAGTGGGTTTTCTGTTTGCTTTTATCTGTTTCTGCTATTTTTTACTTCCTTTGTCAGGAATTGCCTTTTCTCTGTATAGACCAGTGATGTACCAGCTCTTTCTGTTTAGAAGTTCCAGCTGTGGTCTTAATCCTGTAATGTCTGTATTTAACTTTATCAATGTAGGCAAAATTGCATTAAATTACTCACATGTATGTTTACAGAATTGAAAACTAAGTCCCTGAAAGGCCCAAATTACCACCCTTCAAGTCCTGCTTAAAAAATCCCACCGCCTTCAAGGTGAAACAAAAAAGGCTTTTAAGCCTCAGTTAAATTTTACTCCAGTCTGCACTGAAAGAATAAAACATATGGGTATGTGTGCAGGTGTATTCTGCCCTTCTTATATGATGTGGCTGAGGCATGGTATGGTGACCAAATAGTATCTTAGTTCCTGCTGGAGGGTTCTTTTTGTAGCAGGAATATGAGCAAAATAATTTTATTACTGCTGTTTACAGAGGGTTCTTTCTGCAGCTCTTAACAAAGAATAAGTCATGTTGCAATCAGCAAATATGGTGCACATGATTTAAGGATGTCTCTGTCAATGCACAGGTAAAAAATAAGTAAATCATAGTACTGGAATGATTGGGGTGCCCAGACACTGCTATGTAAACTAAACTGGTCTGGGTTATTGCTGCATTGCAAATATTAACAAGGAATGTATAAAAACCTTAGCCTTGGCATATATGTATGGACATTAAGCTGCTAGTCTTACAAGTATGGTGCAATGGCACTGAAAAAAACCCCAAAACGTTCAGGATCCATTCATGGTATGTACCATTCTATCCTATAACATACAGCAAGAAAAAAGGCCTGCCTTAGAGGACTTCAGTGTAAAAAAGCAAAATATTACTTACAGAAGGATAGAAAAGAAGACAGAGCTGTCTTCTCCTCTAGGTCAAGCCAGTTCTAGTTTAGTTGCTGAGTTTTCTTGGTTGGTTTTACCCAAGATCTGCTGAGAGCCAAAAGCAGTATGCCAACTATAGTTCTGCCAGGCCAGTCTAATATTGTTCCATGATAGTAAGCTGTGGCTGCTTTACAAGAGATAAAGTTAGTAAGAAATGGGACCTGGTACATCTGGGCACAGTTTGTTCTATATTTACATACTATCTAAATCTGTTTTGGAGTCAGCTGCCTGTGTAACTGTGCACAGGTAGCAGGCCTATCCTCAGCCTCTTGGTTCAGCCAGGATCCTGCCTGCGTTATGGGAAGGCATCCCAGCTCAGACAGCGAGTTCAGAGAATCATTTTGAAGTTAAAAATAGTAAGTCAATTTGTGGTGATATCAACTGCATACACTAATAATTGACAACAGAGATTGGACTGGGCACATAATCATTATGTTCCAAATACAGCTAATCTCAGATTTCTACAAAAAGCAGTGCTGTGTCTTCTATAAAAACTTGTTTTCCTGCCTGATTACCCTTTCATATAAGCATAGCACATGTTGTCACTGTATTTTGGTTGTTAAATCTTGTGGCTAAATGCAGCGGTGTCTTTCAAGCAGGCTTTGATTTGCCTTCATAGTAGCAATTTATTTGGGACATTCTGTTTTCACTAGAAATAGTCACTGTGAATGTTTGCCCGTCCTTTTAAAACTGTCAGGTCCACAGATGACAAGTGCTATGCAAATGCAAAGTGGTATTATTCATTTATTTCAGAGCTGGAGTTTATTCAGTCATTATGGGCATAAACTGAGTAATTAGTTACACTGCCAGTTGATGCCTAAAAATAATTCTTAGGCAGTGCTTGAATTACTTGCCTTCTGTTGAGCTAAATAGTCTCATCATAGCATGATTGATGATTAAATGATTAAAATGGATTTTATATATTACAGCCCAATTCAATATCCCATCATTTTCAAAACACATCTCATGTAGACAAACTTGTGTCCAGATACATCTTTTACAGAACCCATATGAAGACCTCAGAACTAATGAATTCGCACTATGCAGTTTATTCTCCAATTATTGTACTTATCAAAGAAAGCCATCTGTGGTCTTTGTTTTACTGAGTTTCGGGGAAACAGATCACATACAGGCCTCATGGGAAAGTTATAATTATGAAACCAAAAGGCTTTTTACAAAGTATGATATGAAAGAACAGACAGTAAATCTGTTCAGTTTTGAACCTTCAACCTTAGGTATGGTACATCGTTAATTCCCCCCTTTGATATTCAGTTTCAAGCCCTCTGTTGCATTGGTTTTTTACTTATTTATACCTTCCTGTTCACATTTCTCTGTTTCTTTGTGCTGTAGCAACAGAACTGAGAACAGCCTTAAGTTTCAAACAGCTGCCAAACAGTAGATGCTCACACATGAAAATGTTTGTGTGTGTCAAGCAGGGCTAGGATAAGTGTCCTTTCATGTGTATTGGCCATGTTCTCATGGCTGTGGGTACGTACACGTGATGCAATGGATGGTTTTCTTCCAACTATTAATTCTTAGGCTGGGAGATTTTGGACAGGTGTCCACCTCCTGAAGCACCTCCTGAGTGGTACTGGCACATACGTACTGTCTAATTGAGAGTGTAACCAGTTCCAAACCCAGCCTGGGGAGCTGTGTTGGGTATGTGCTTGATTGTCTCAGGCCATTAAGCTGTGGGACAGTGAACCAGGGAAGAAAGAGTCTGGTCAGAGAGACATTTCAGTCTTCAAGAAGACACATCTTAGAGTACTGTGAGTAATTTGAGAGAGCAGTGGTTATTCACTGGAGAGTTTGACAACACCAAGAAAATGTTTGTAACATAATCCAAGGAAGAAGATGCAGATAAGATTTCTTTTATTAAAGTAAAAATATATTTAGATTTATCTGAAAATTTCAGCTGTATGCATAAAATCATATTCTTTTGCTTACTGTCCCTGTATGCAGTATTTCAGATACCAGATTCCTATTCATTAGGACTACATCTGACTGAAAACAAGACATTATCTCAAGGGCATAAAAATAAACAAACAAATCCTATTATGTTTTTGTCTTATAACCTTATACTGCTTGTGTACTGATGTAGGGAACAGTAGTTCAGCAATGGAATTAGAGTAGCAGAGTTCTCCATATTACAAGCAGCATTGCTTCTTAAAGGGCAGTAAGAGAGAACTGTCATCTGCATCTCCTCCATTAAGATGACTGAGGTTAATGAGGGACAATGACTTTTTTTCACATTCTCCTTTAAATCAAGAATCTTAATAAAATTCAACTTTATGGACTGATAGTCTTTCTAGAATTTATTCTTCCTCTTGTATATCCACTTGCAGATCTATAATGTCTGTTAAATTTACTCCTCAAAATAAACAACATTTTCTCTTTTAAAAATGGTTTGCTCATGATACAAATATCCTTATAGTATTAATTCAGGAATAGGCTCATGCAGAAGAAGAAACAGAGTTCAGAAAATGCATGGAGTAAATAGTAGGTATATTATGCTTAACTCTAAGTGCATTTCTATTATGTCAAACACTATATTTTTTATCACTAGAATAAAAGTTTTTGTGAGATTATGAAACTGAAGAAATAACATATTCACCAAAATATGTTTCAGTTTTGTATTAACACACATTACAAACTTAAACATAATATATATAGTGTTCTGAATACAATTACAATAGCACCAGTCTTGTGATGTAAATAATGTAGAACCACAGTATTCACTGAATTACAGATATAATTCTCTCAAATCTATTTTTATAATTTTAGAATGAGTGAATAAAGACTTGAAGGCATTCACTAAGTTTCACTGTGTACAAAAGAGATCTGGAAAACTTTTCTGATTTTGCTCAGATTAAAAACCAGATCTCAGTGAAGCTGATAACATCACAAATGGTTTAGAATATTTGGTTTGGAAGAGGTGCTCCTGTGGTCAGTTGCCATTCCATTTTTTTCATAATCATTGTCTTTGAGTCAGCTACTTCTCTCTCAAATTTGTTTGATATTGGTCAACAGATTTAAAATACACTTGCCAGGGAGAGAAGGTGGTTAAAAGCCACAGGCACACAAAGACCTCCCATTACCTATTCCTTAACAGAAGTCTAGGCTAACCGCTGGGTTCTTTTCACTGAGCTGCTGAGTCTTGGTTCTGTTGCTCTTAAAACTTACATGGATAGTTCTGGTGAAACAAATCCTTTGTTTATCCACAACATGTGCCATCTGTAGGTGAAGACCAGAATTTACATGCTTCTCGTTCTTACTTTCAGCTTCTTGAAATTCCCCTGCTGATGCTGGTCCTCAGAATGTTGATGTTCATCTTAGTTTTCTCAAAGTCTAGATCAAAATTACTGAAGACTGGAAAAACTTCCAGTAACTTCTCAGGATTTTAGGCCCCTCCTTTACTAAACCTCTTAGAGACAACAACTTCCTATGACAACAGAAAAAACTAATTTATTTGTGCTTTCTGTGATTTGAATACATCATATTCTTTGAAATCCAGTATTCTAATAAAAGCTGTAAAAATCTATGAAAAAATACTTAATTTTTAAGGACAGAAAAATTAAAATTTATGAAAAAATCAGTTCATTGTATTGAAAAACAATTCAGCAGCCTTTTAGGGCAGAAATATCCTTGCACTGCAATATAAGAATTTTAGCTTCATTAGTGTAATGTATTAGATCTAATGAAACCAGTAAACACATACCGTCTGCTCAACTAACAATCTGTTGTGTACTGAAATCTTCATACTCCTCAATCACTTTAAAGTAGTTCAAATGAAATACAGATAAGGGAAATTCTCCCCTCTTCTTACTAAAGCAAACCTCTGAGATCACTGTTGTCTCAGACTAGGCATAAGTCATTTATTAGTTACTGATCAAGTAACAAGCACCTTGATCAAAATTCCCTCTCTGTTGATGTCATGCATTTATTAAGTAATTATGAGAGGTATTGAAATAATCTCAACAGACTTTATCAATACAGCACTAATAAACTCAGCAGTTTTTATAAAAAGGAGGCCCTAAAGAACTGAAAGTTTATGTTTGTGTCTAGCCAAGTTCTCTTAGTCAGTTTTCCCTGGAATTCCAGAACACAACAGCAAGAGATCCAAAAAGTGCTTTTTAGATCCTAATTTTTTTTTTCAGTGAAAACTGTCAGAAGTAAAAACAAATCTCGGTGGGCACTCAGGTGTTCTTGGCTTGGGGAATTCTTGAAACAGTTGGCCTACCTGTGTTGGTCTAGAAAACTCCTTAAGCAAAAGTGTTAGTGTCTAGCAAAAGTGTCTAGAAGCTTGGCATAAAGATTACCATGACAAAACCAAAGAAATCCTGGAAATATTTTTGTCTGTATCTGTTGATACCAACAATAAGGGTGAGATGGTTCTGTCCACAATATTTTTCCTCTAATTTTGCAATGCAGTCATGGTTATCTGCAATAGTCCTTTCAGAAGGGTTCTCTTCTATATACAATGACTGTCCAGATACTCCCATTCCTATGGATATTCATTTAACATGTCACAGGCAGGGAGGAAGAATGAGTAACCCATGCACACCAAAGGCAAGGAGAAGGGGTAAATAACCCCTGAAACAGCGCCCTCAGCCCAGAGAGGAGAGGTGATTCTGCTGCATCTGTCCCTCGCAAGACTGAGAAACTGCTGTGAGGAGCCCCAGAAGGAGGTTTTGCACCTCCAGTGCAAATGGTGTACAGAAACAATTGATCCAGAGGCTGGCTGAATAGAGAAGCTGATGGGCAAGGGGAGGATCAACTGCTGGCAGCAGGCAGGCAGATGGGATGGATGAGAGTTCATAAGGTACAGGTTAAATTCACCCTGTTCAGTGCCACACCAACTGTCACACACTCACCATGGACGGAGGGAGGGTTTGAGAGGAGTTTTAATTTATTTTAGGAAACCTATGACTTGTTCCTTATTTTTAATTTTAAGGCTGGCAGTAAGGTCCTAAAGCAAGACCTTTGACAGGTCAAATATAAACTTACTATTGTGTTATGAAATGGTAACACTGCAACTGCATATATTTAAAATAAGTTAAAATTAAGTTATGGGCAGCTGTTTTTTCCTATTAAATGCTGATTTTTAAGCCTTTCTCAGAACTAAATCTGGATTTTTAATTATGATTTTTAAAAACCTCAAATCCCCAATAAGGACTTAGATTAATACTTTTCGAAAGCCATAGCTGCTTTAGTACAAAACATGTCTCATGATTACATTGGTTTATACACACATATAAATCCTATTGATGTTTATGTATCACTGAATATCCCAAGATATTATTCTAGGATTAAGCTTCAGTATTGATTTTTTTTTTGTGTAAAATATCCTTTGATACAGCATTAGATTTACAGAGGTCCCATTATTTAATTACACTAAAAATTACAGCACTGTCCTGCAACTCCGAAAAACATTGAACACTTTTTGTTAGGAATGTGAAACAATATGTAGCTCTGTGTGAGCAGATCCATTGGGATCTGAAGCTGGCCTTGGGAGGTAGAAAAAGAAATACAAGCCTTTGCTCCAGTTGGTACTCTGTCACTAAATCCCACTGTTGGTATTTTCATAAGACATTATACTACGGCACCCACCAAGGAAGCCCCAGTGTCCTGAGATAATGTCCTTCCTCTCATCACCCAAGAGAACCTGGGTTTAGCCTGCAAAGTTTGCCCTCATTCCCACCCCAAACAGTCTTCCTCTCTTTGTGACTGCGGGGTAAAACTGCAGTTTTTATTGCAAACGAACTAAAGCAAGAGCCAATTCACAATCCCTCCTTAAGAATGAAGCAAATCAACTGATGTGCTACTTCCTTTTTTTAAAAAAAAAAAAAAAATATTCCACAGGAATGTGATGAAATTCTTCAGGCCTAGGTCTTTGGTGTAAAATCACATATGAGTAAGTGACAGATCAAAGTCTTTGGGAAGAGTTCAGAACTTTAACCTGGACATAATCTTTGCAACTGACCTCAATTCCTTGGTTAGAGCCCAATGCATCTGCACCTCTGGCAGCATACAAAGTAAACCTTGCTGATAATTAGGAGTTTTCTAACTGCACACCCTCACAAACTTGCAGCTAAATAAAATTGAAACAACATGAATGTCCATGTGCTTTTACAGGTACCCTCCATTCTTTACAGCTTTCTTGAACATATATAGCGGCTCCGTTTGACCTTCCTGCAGTCAGTTGCTTGCCATTTTCCTCGCTTCTGCACCAATACACAATTTCTTCCTCTCTTTGGAAAGTGGTAGGAGCCTCTTCTCCAGTTTATGTAGGTTACAGGTTCTCCTCCATTCCACTCCAAATGTCCAGGATTGACTTGGTCATTCAAGCCTGTTTGAAATTTATAAAACAGTATCAGTGATGTTTATTGTCTCTGGATCCTGATGCCAACAGAAACAAGTTGTTCTATTCCTTTGTTAAAAAATGCATACAATATTGTGCTGGGAGAAAAAAAAGCATCTGGAATACAAGTAGAATACAACTTAATATTTCATAAGGCCATCTGAATCACAATTACTGCCATCTGAATAAGGGAAAATACAGTTTCCCGCATTATTGCCTATCTAAAATGTTTTCTCTCTTTCCATCTATTGCATGTCTGTCACCTCCATGTTTCTCTGATATTTAAGAAGCCAAGCAGAATGTTGTGTTCAAGTCTGGGCAGCCTCAGATGCCTTCAGATTCCTACTGAAAATAAAATCCTGCAGAACTTTGTAGACCTTGTTTGCATTGTTGAAATTAACAGTTGTAAAATTAGTTCATGTTAATTAATACAACCTAAACCACATCCTTCCACTTAGCCTCTGAGTTACTAAGACCAACATGGGTGGTTTATTTTCAGACATAACCTGTCTTCTTGGCTAGAAGAGATCAAGATCAGAAAATTGACACAATGGTCTTGTAGTTTTCATTCTTATGAGGGGAGTTTATTTCTTCAGGTTAACAGAATCATGATACCATTAAACATGATCCCAAAATAACTATTTTTTTTAAGTTAATTTAGTATAGCTATTAAAATCCATCTCAGAAAATTACTAAGAGCTGAAAATATCAGTTCACAACTGGAAAAAATAACCTAAAATGTAGACAGTATAGCAGAAACAAGAAGATTTAGAAGAAAGCAATAGCACTAGTCCATGAGCTAAGGCAGTCATTCACAGAAAGGGATCAGGAGGTACAGAGAAGGCCCATCTGAATTCTTTCCATTTCTCCTTAAATGAAAGTGCATAATAAGAAACAGAGAGCTAAATCTAAGATGATGTGATGAAATCTTATTTAGATGATTATCTAAATAATTCACAATATTTCTGATACAAGATGACACTATTAAATTAGCAGTAACATAAACAATTATTTAGAGGGGTTTTTAGGAAAAAAAAAAAAAACAAAGATAAATTAGAGATAAATAAAGTAACAGTCAAAAAAGAGAGGTGAGATAAACAAAGGAGTAGAAGCTCCACCAGAACTAATTTTACCAGCTAGTATTAAAATGGGAAAGTTTTTGAGGCAAAAACAATCCAGCAGTAAGCAACATGATAAACTCTTCTTTTTGATAAAGACTTATAAAATTAGCCAGATAAATTATGGCTTTGAGTTTATGCCTTGCTCCAAAATAATAAAGGCAGTAGAAAGTCAAGGACAATGCAACATTGGAAAACTGGACTGGAACTGCTGCAGCAGTTTCTGCTTCCCAAAGTGCACGGGAGTTGTAACCTTCAGAGGGTATAGTACAGATACTTGCCTATCCAAAAGGGCTTCCTCCCACTGAAGTCCCACAGCCACTGCATGTGTTGTTCATTAGCCACGCTTGCTAGACTCCCTAGGTATCTAAGCTCAAGGAGAGAGGACAGAGTAATCAGCATTACACAGAGTGACAGACAGCTCCCATTGACTTATCAACAAGCCGTACTGATTCTAGTATAAAGCATATAAATAATGCTTCGCAGGAAATCCACTCTTTACTGGCATGAAATAATAATTACATAAAGATAGAGCCTTAAAATTCTGAATTACTTGGAGAGGAACCAAAGTCCTAGTCTGATTTTTCTAACAGAAAAATTAAATCAGCTGAGCAACTGAAAGAAATATATACAGGAAATGCATACCTCATACTCACAAACTGTGTTTTAAACCACCGACACAATCATTGATACATATTTTTCTTTAAAATACTAATCTGCCCACGCAAAATCCAAGCGACTGAAAGATACAGCTTCACCTATTTGGTAGTAAAACTGACTATATCTTTTTAAAATCATGTTCTGACAAAACTAAGGCTTTGGATAACATAGTTAAGATCTCTGTGATGTTTCAAAACAGAACTAAGTGTGTGTAATTTAGGGGTCTGGCTTAGAGTGGTAGCGTGGTTCTGAGAGGTAAGTTGGGTTGTCTGAAATGACTATGCATTTAGCTCAGATCAGAGACCAGTTGTGGTGTGTATTAACCAGACTGTTTCAGAACAAAGCCAATCCACAAACTCTGCTCTGCGTTTGTACTCAAAGTATGCCAGTCCCAAAGGAGGACTTGCAAACTCTAGACACTGAATAGCCTTGTCATTGTGAAGTCTTCCAATCAGTACCAAATGTGCAAGCACCAGCAAGCTGCTCTTTAGCCAGTTAGATATCAAGCTAAATTCTGAAGCATTAAGAGACAAATGGCATCCTTCACATTGCCAGGAACTGTCAGCTATCAGTGGCTCCACTTCCTTATTTATCCATCTTTTTGCCTGCCTTGATATCATGTCACCTTTTTACCTGTCACACCTACTGTTGCCTTCCCTCTGATGCTGAGCCTCTGTCATTTCTGTTGTCTTATATTTTCGACTGCCACTCAGTCTAATAGTGATACGAACCCCTTCAGCCTCCCAGGACATCATGGCTGATGCTTGATAGGGCCCAAGTAAACAATACTGCACACCAGAACATGTCTTAAGAGAGCCAAAATCTCTTCTAGCAGCAGAATAAGTCAGTGACATTATGAGGAATTTGCTAATTTCACGACTGTTGCCAGATAATGGCGACAGAAGATCAGTATTGCTGCACAGGAGGTAAAAACTGTTTTCCTTAAGAGCTGGGCTGACAACCAGACCTCAAGAGTGACATGGAAGACTTGAATCCACTATGGAGACCACAAAGAGGTCTTGGGGTGCAAACCCACCACTAATCCTGCTGCCCAGTTAAAGACCCACGCCTGTAGCTCCCTTCTTGTTTGCTGCTTTGTATCTCTTCTAACAGCACTGATCTTGTGGATGCCATGTAACACCACACAAGACAGGAAAGCAGGCAAATTTTACATCGGGAGGAGTTCAAAGTAGTAACCTAGTAACCCACAGTATTCTGCACAGTCCCTACTGCACAAAACTTGGACCATTCCTTAATCTGGGCACTCAGGGGCATAGTATGGAATGTTACAACATTCGTTGTAACACTGATGGGATGCTCCTGCTGCAAAGGCATCCTCCGTTATCCCTGCAATCAACCAAAGCAGCAGGGGATTCACCCTTTGCTTTGCTTTCCATGGTGAGTCTGCCAAGGCCTGCAGGACAGCGGAGTGTTAGCCCTCACAGCCAGTGTAATCATGTCTGCCCCAGACCAAACACTGCACAGTAACGTAGGTCCCATCAAGGGTCCTCAAAGTTCAGGGGCCACCAGAGAACAAACTGTAAAAGATCTCATTGACATCTGTGTACACTCTCCTCAAGTAGAGGTGTGGTAGGATGGCCTCAGAAACATTGCTAATGATGTTACAAATGGCAGACTGTCCCAGCACAAAGCAGCTACCACCTGTCTGGCAGGGGTCAGGACTGTGCAGCCTCTTGTGGTACGGGCTCCCAAAATTTCACCCAGTGAAGCTCAGAGAGGCTTTCACTGTGCTTCTCATCACAGTCAAGTTTCATGCATGGTGTTGGTGCCTGTATGTCCCACAGCTGACATGCTTCCATGCTTCCAGGCCCATCTAATAGGCACCGAATCTCCAGTGAACCAAGAATAAAGCTGTTACACTGACAAAAGCTCCTGGAAAGTTTTGTACTCTGTCTTCTTCCTCAGACAACAAGTCCAGGCAAGCAGGCTTGGTTAATTCAGGGTGTCCTCCCAGTGTAACTGACATAGCAGCAGGATGCCATTCCCCCTCACAGTGACTGTGGTTGGCCACTGATCAAGCTTGGAACCAAGAAAAGATTTGGGCAGCAGTCTCTGGTATCACTACTAGCTGAGCAGCAACAAAAATAGGGCATTTTATCTGGCTTCTACCTAAGGACAATCAAAGCCCTGGAGCTTTACTTTAAGTAAGCATAGCTTACTCCTGTTGTTTCAATTGTTTTAGAAAAATGTGAAAACAAAAAGCATCAATGTGTATCAGTAACTGCTATATCATTTATGACATACAGGGGTGGTCAGAGCAATAACAGTTTCAGATTTCTACTTCAATCCAAGTACCAGGGAGAGACTTCAGCACTGCGAAAGGAAAGCACTGCAGTAATTATAACGTTATCTAATCTTTTCTCCATAGGAGTGCTTTCTAAATACAACCTAAGAAACACACGACTGAAGAGAGAACAACCATTTGAATTGTTACACCTAGTCAGGAGTTTTGCTGTATTGTAGGGAAATGAGAACCATCCTGAAGGAACATATCACTTATGATACTATTAGTAACTGTACCTCTAGGCAGAGTGCCAGACAGAGGAAATGACAAGATAATGTTATTTATGGAGCTATGTAAAACTAACACTTCCTAATTTAAATGACTCTAGAGAAGGGGTCATAATGTTTTATTTAAAACAAAAACAAAAAACAACACAAAAACCCACACACTTCACTGATTTCTGTGCTAAATAAGTCCATTTGAAATTATTCCTGTGTGCTTTAGAATTTTTGCTATTAAATCAAGAGCATCTGTCATCTTAGAGCAGTTGTCCAAAGCAAGGAAGTGTTTTGGGTAGCCACTGACCTTTCAAGTACTATATGCAAAACACTTAGCACAAGGACTTAACTAATTTTACATTAAATTATCCGATACATTTAAAGGATCTTTATACCATTCTGTTAAATTTAATTTTAGCAAAAACACACTTGACTAGCTATGAAGGTCCCTGCAGCACAGGAAGAAATTTAATTTGAATGAACTGCTGTAGTAAATCTGCCTTATACTGATGGTGAAGGTGGGGGAGTGACTGAGAGGCCTAGCTTATCCCAGGCTTTTGTTTGATCACCTAGTAATCCTGGTGCCTTGAAATAGGTGTCTAGTGCTGCTTACGACACCTTGTGGCATTCAAAACATTCAGGTGAGGCTGGCAGACATGATGCAGAGCTTACAGCAGCCCTGCTGTTGGGTAAGACAAGATACCCTGGGCCTTTAAAATTACTTTAGGAACCCGAATCCCTGTGCCAGCGTCATTAGCAATAATGTAAGCTAAACCAGTCACTTACAGAACTAGCACAGCATTAGGAGAGGAGGGCACCAGGGTCCATCCTGCTTTGCAGTAGGCAACACTGAGCCACTATGAAGGATCTAACCTACTATTTTAGATGTGGTTGTACATGTAATTCCCAAGGACTGAGGCCAGATGCTGCTAATATACAAACACCAAACAAAGTAACAGTCCCTGCCCTACAAAGCTGGCAGTAAAGGATCTGAAATCTGACTATATTTGAACTCTAAATGTTCAAGAAGATGAAGGTGTAATCTGTCTAATGAAGCAAAAGACACAACTGTGGGTTCTGTCTAGCCAGTGAAGGGTCCCTTCAATGGCAGCAGTGGAACTATCTCACACGTGAGCGAGCCCTGCTGCACAGATCCTTGGGGAGGGCGTGTTCCTATGGGATGAACAAGAACCATAACATAAATCACAAAAATTGCTGCTAAATCAGGCTGCTGTGGGATCACTCAACCATAATATCCCCCAGATGCTTCTCTTCCTGTTGCCAAGTGCCTCTTCATGCATACAAAACAAAACTAGAGAAATGAGTTCTTAAACCACCTTTGTCTCCATTGTATTAGAGAAGGGTTAGAAATGGTGCAGGATTTTCACATCGATTAGCTGAGATTTTTTCCACCCACAGCATACAGCAACTTGTGTCAAGACAAGCACATTTTTGTGTCTGCTTCTATCACTGCACATGGAAACTGAATACAAGATTGGTATGCCACCTGCAACAAATGGTTGCAGTGTGGGCAAAGCTCAAATAGGTTTGCATAAGCCCATGTACATATAGTTATGTTCAGACAACAACTGTTTCAGCAATAAATTGATAGAATTGCTTTGATGGAATAGAATCACAGAATATCAGGTTTGAAGGGAACAACTGTTCTTGGCAAAAAGCACAGTCTATACAAGACGGCCCAGCACCCTGTCCAGACAAATCTTAAAAGTGTCTAACGTTGGGGAATCCACCACTTCCTTGGGTAGATTATTCCAGTGTCTGATTGTTCTCATTGTGAAAAGTTTTCCTCTTGTGTCCAGTACAAATCTCCCCAGGAGTAACTTGTACCCATTACCCCTCGTCTTTTCCATATGACTCCTTGTAAAAAGGGAGTCTCCATCTTATTTTTAGCCACCCTTTAAATACTGGAACATGGTGATAAGGTCTCCCCTAAACCTTCTTTTCTCAAGGCTGAACAAACCCGGTTCTCTCAGCCTTTCCTCACATGGCAGGCTTCCTAGTCCTTTGATCATCTTTGTGACCCTTCTCTGAACTCTCTTCAGCCTGTCCACTTCTTTTTGTATAGCTTGGTCTTGAGTCCATCACCTCAGAATAACAGTGTTTTCTCTAAGAGGTTAAGAGGTTGGTTAGTTGGAGGCTGCTACTAAAACAACTTTTAACAATGTTTGTGCTTTTTTCCTGTTCTCTGTAATAGAAGAAGTATACCAGGAAAATGGAATAGAAGTTTAAAATAAAGCCATTTTTGTAGTAAAAAAAATGATTCTTATTTTTCAGTGAAATTGGCTGATTTACTGGGAGACAATTCTAATATTTTCATTTAATGTCTAATGTTTGTTTGATTTGTTAAAAAACTGAGGATTGACTTCCATGTTGATTTTATTTGCTTGTTGGAAATGTCGGTTATTTAAATGTTAACAGTAAAAGTAGTAATAAAAGAAATACCACCATGGGTAGTGGTGGTGATTGCTGGGAAGCAGAACTGGGCAAAAGCACAAAATGAAGTTATCTTCTTGTACCACTTTTAAGTGTGTGCCTGGAGTTATACTTCTGTAAATCAGTTCCAGGTGGAGGCCAGGAGTACTCCATCTACCAGTGTAAAGCTTCCTTAGTCTGTGGTAGTCTGACATTAATTGAATCATTGCTGCTCTAGGATTCATTTGCTTGTGGATTCAGTGATATGCCTTGTAGGTGTTCAACACTATCATTTATTTACTGTTATTCATTTAACATCTACGTTGCACACTATAGCCTTCAGCAAGACGTTACCAGCTACAAATAATATGGGTCACCAGAAGCACACTCTTTAAGGAAATGGGGAACACCTCCCAGCAGCCTGACATACATGCCCAAGGGATCAATTGAATGTTGAAGACTTCAGAAAAAAAAATATATTAGAATATTCACAATCTATGTCTCTGTTCGGATAAGGAACAAAATAAAAGCAGGTGATAGAAAACCATTTCAGGAGCTGAAATTTCAAGTAAACCAATTAACAATGTGACATTTGTGGTGAGCTCACAAGAGCAGGTAACATTTACATTTCAGTAAATAATAACTTCCATAAGGTGGGAGGTATTAGAACCAAGACTTTCCTTTTGTGTGTTACCAAGACAACATAATTTGGCAAAACTGAGTGGAACAAATCAAGGTTTGTTATGCATGCTTAGCCATGTTTCATGTTTCCTGCATGTCCTTCAACCATTTTTGGAATATATTCTGTTTCTTTCATCTCCAACTCCTCCCTGTTTTAATTTTCATTTCATGGAATATTGGAGAGGTCTATTAGAACCCCTCATATTGTTCAGATTGGGATTGGTCTTAAACCTGGTGATCACATTTCAACACAAGGTACAGAACATTCATGATACCAGGATAAGCTCCATGTTACCATGGCCAGCACTTCTTCCAGTCCTAAGCTATCACTCTTAAAACCAAAATCACAAAGCAAGCCTCCAAAGAGCAAGACTGGTGGATTTTCTATTTGTCCCTACTTTGAGACAACTATTAATATTATTAATAATAATGTTGTTGTTGTTGTTGTTGTTGTTGTTGTTGTTGTTGTTGTTGTTGTTGTTGTTGTTATTATTATTATTATTATTATTATTATTATTATTATTATTATTATTATTATCCTTAAAAGTCAGAAATTTGCTGTTAAATTGAAGGTTAAAGTTTTCAGGTAGTTACAGAATCTGAAGAGCTGCACCTTCAGAAGAATATGGTGGGGTACACAGGACCTGGCAACATTGTGCTGTTGCTATGTCAACTGAAGGTAGAGCCAAGGAAGTGGTGGGTCAGAGAGGATGAAAGGCTGAGTCTGCTCTATTTCTCTTCTCTCAAACTAACTATTCCATTAGGAAAGCATCCCCACTGCATATGGACAGTTTTGGGAGTTCACATTGTGAATAAAGTAGTATCACCACTTGAAACATTATGAGACTAATAATATTTATATCCTCCACTGAGTCTGAATCCCAGAGCTTGTTCTATTTTTTAGGGATCTGTGCAGCACAACTGAAGTGGGGCTTATCCAGATAAACTTGGCCTTGCAGCAACATTCAGCTCAGGGCAAGAGCAGTGCACAGCAAACACATTCTCTTGGAGAAGTCTCTTACTGTTCTCTGCATGCCCGAGCAGCAGTGTTCCAGGTGACCTTGTGATTTACCACCAAGAAGTAGCAGCTGCCCTCGTGATGACTCCATCCGGAGGGACATTTCTTCATGCTCACCTCCTAAAATAAAAGAGGAAAAGACAAAGCAGATTCATGCTCACAGTGATCTAGATCTGTGTGCTAATAATCAGACTGAAGGCTGGAGGTGCTGCTTATGGCCTCTCCAGAACTAAACTGAACTTTGGTGTGTATCAATAAAGCTACAGCACTGTTTAAAAGATGTAAAGAAATAAATGCCGCCAGAGGAGCCCACAATTTATACTGAGTAGTTTTAAAGGTGACACAAGGTTTCGGTTCCAAAAATCCTCTTAAGAGACCACATTAATTTGGACATCATTTTCTGTCTCCTGCAGTCTGTGTAGAGAACGCAGTGCAACAAAATTCAGCATGACATCTTATATGGGGGGACGTATGTTTACAGAATTCCTAAGTGAACTAATTCTACTATCTCACACTCATTCTCTCACAGACTTCATTCACTGTCTGTCTCGTGCACATCCCCACAAGCACCAAGACATCAGTGCTCGAGGGGTTCGTCCAGGAAAGACAGCCCCAGCAATCAAGCCCCAATCATGTCTCTGTGAATCCTTTTTTCTTCTGGGGACAGCAAACCTGACTCTGGACAACTCTTTTATTCCCTGTACAAGTCAATAGCTGTTATAGGAAGGTCCTTTGCTTGACAGTCTCACTCATTGTAGACTCGATGCTCTGATTTAGATGCATACTCATGGTCATATTTTTACCTTGCCTTGGGAATTCCAGGATTTCCATATTATCCCATCACATTGAAATAACTTTTGAGTGCTTTCTTCATAATGCAAGAGCCCCTTTAAATCTGGTGTACAGGCCTTTGGAAAAGAGTAAAAGTCCTGGAAAGAGAAATGCCACTTGAACATTGGGAGGAAAATAATTACACAAAAAAAACAAGCTACATAAAACTGATTAAATAGGTCTTATATTAAAACTTTATGCCATGAAAACTCTTCCAAGAGCTGAGCTGTTAATTTATCTGTGTATTGGTTAAACTCAGCTTTGGAGTGGGAAGGGTTGGGCTGCAGATCTCAGAGGTGTTAAATCATTTTGGAAAACAGCATGACTGAAAACAGATGGTGAAAATGCCTATGAAACAAAAGATTTCATACCTGATGTCTTGAGTGTGGTTCAGATGCCAGTTCTGCCTTATCAGCTTGTGGGATTTCTATCTTCCTAGAGGAGACGATGTTTGTCTGTGGTTGTGCTTGGTTAATTACTGACACTTGAGCTTTCTTGTTTGCTTTAGCTGATGAGGTGTCATCCTCTATTTTGAGTGATACCATCCCGTGATACTTTGTTTTACAGTATCACAAACACAAGGAGAACAGGAAAGGGCAAAGAGAGGGTGAGCACATACAAGCATATGTTAAATAAACTCAAAAAACTCCCCACATTTATAATACAAATCGTTGCAAAATCAAGAGAAAGTAACATCAAAGAAAATGAAAGATACATAGAAAAATAAAGTACTGGTCATAATGAATTATTAAGAGTGATAAAGCCTGGAAAGAACAGAATCAAAAAGAAATCACAGAAATGTCTGAGCAATACTCATAATACTCTTACTTTGAAAACCACATCGGTTCCATTTCTAAGTATAGATGAAGGATGAACCTGAAAAAGGTAGAAAAGCAGAATGAAATGGACATATTCATGCATTAAACAAACAAAAAGACTTTATGCAAAATTTACTACAAGATCTACGTTACAAATCATGAAGAACATATCTTGGTTTTAGTGCCTTCTCTTTCAGAATGGAAACTTGATCACCTCTGAAAACAGACGTTAAAAATCGCACAGTACAGGTGTGTTTATAAACAGATTCCATTACAATAGCAGACTACAATAGCAGAATGTTAGTAAACCACCTAGCTACACCAATATAGTTTAAGCAGGAAAATCAATGGTCAAGTTTTAAGTAACTGCTCCCTATTTAAGATAACAGTATTTTCAGCTTTAAAAATTCAGGACCAGAGACCATCACTGCACTACAGAAGTGTCTTACTATTCTGCCATTTCCAGTCACTCTCAGCCGGGTCCTTGACCGATTCACCAAGCTGTGTTCCTGCTGTAGGTCCCCTCTGTGCTCTCTCATCCCTTTGGAAGGAGGTGGTGGGATCCATTCCAAGGGAGCATTGCCAGTCCTGGAAGGCGTTGAAGAGCCTAAGGAAACTGGAAACAGTGTGTCTCCCCCCCAGAAGTCACGCTTGCTTTGGCCAGAAGAATGGGAATAGCTGCACTGACCTGAAAGCATTAAAAATGGCAGATGGTCAGTTCTAACTTCATGAGCAGATAACTGGTCACATTGACATGGGCACATAAGCAGCTTGTCATTAAAAGTTGGATGATTCTTTCACTTGATGGGGTTGATTTGCTGTTTGTTAAGTCATCCTCATTTGTGGTGTTTGCTATGACTATGACTGCAACTGCTACCTGTATATGTATGTTTTTATATGTAATGCGTCTGTCTACCCACAGATCAGAATTTCAAACAAGCATCTGCTGAAAATACCTGTTTTCATGCATAGACTGGGGTTTGAAGTGCTGGGTTTTTGGTCATGGATACACAGGTATCTTTAATGTTAAGGCAATTTTCTCTTCAGAAATCCAAGAAGCTATTGTTCCTACAAACTAGTTGTGTCAATTAACTCCTGATTTACATTATGAATATTAAAGAGAAAACAGATCTGAAATTTTAAAAGGAATTTTTGTAAAATGAAGCCTAATTCATTGCAACATGGGTATTTAAAATATTGTTTCACTAAGCACCAGGAGAAAAAACACTTCAGCTTTCAGAGGACTCAACTGCTTTTCAAGTTATTTCTATTTTCCTACAGTTGCTTTTTTTTGATGTGATTTTAGGCATGCCACATTTGATCACTGAAAAACACAATAATAATGCACACATAAAAGCCTAAACTCTGTACTGATCACTGCTGTGTGCACTTGTTGTGCACTGTGTTTGTTAAGCATTAGAAAATATATTGCTTCTTTTTTGAGAGGAAAATAAATCTTTCTCAGAGGTGTGTGACAACTGTTCAACAATAACTGCGAGAAAAAACCTAATCTCTTTCCCACTTTAATAAATGAGAACTGCACTCCTGTTGTTTTAGAAAGTGCACCCTTCTCATTATGTACTTGTTGCATTTTCCATGCTGTGTTTCCTAAGAGGATGCATATGATTGTGTAAGAGAAGAAAGGGTCAGCAATTGTCAAGTCTGTTTTCTCTGAAAAGAAATTAAGCATTTTGATCCAAAGGTGAGTGTTAGGAACAACTTGTGGTTGAAAATAAGTAGATACTCAGCCAAGATTGTCCCACCTTCTTAATGATGATCAAAAGCGAATACCTCCTTTTGAGTCCAAAATTTTCACTACAGCTTTTGTCTGGGTGCCAAGAACAGCATTCACAGGGGAGTTCAGAACTACTTCAAAGACTTCATCATCTTCCTCTAATCCGTCATAGGTAATTGCTATATTCCACGTCTTGGTTGACATTCCTAACAGAAATAAACATTCTAATTACTCTTTAAGTACTATTTCCATCAATCAGGGTGTCAAAGAAATATATTAATTAACATGTCTGCAGCTAGCATGGTGTAGCTGGTGTATGCTATTGTGCTCCTACCATCTGACTGAACTCCTGCTGTTCTTCCAAATAACATTAAATTCAGATTTGTTTGTGGTCATTAATGATTCAGTTCAAGTGCAGACAGTGTAAGAAAAAGCTGCTGTAGATGCATGATACGACACTATAATATGTAACTTAGGACTTCTGTTGCAATTTCCAAGAGAAAATGTATTGTATGCTTTTTATCTTGTAAGCTTAATTTTAGAGACGGAACATTTATTTAAAATACCTGCAAATGGACCATAGACTATGTTAGAATAAAGTGCAACCTTTTAGGCAGATTTTATATTTGGTTACAAAATTTTTACTTAGTTCCTTGACTTTACTGGGTAACTTCAGGCTTGCATTATGGGAATGAGAAAAGATCAGTCCAAGATAAAAGACTAGGCTATTTATTACCTGAAAGGCTACAAAATTTGTTCAGAAAAAGTCAAAGGCAGCAGGACAGAAGGAGATCTCAACATACACATTGCTGTCAATAAAACATCTTGGGAACTGTTTCTGCATCACAAAGTCGGTGCTAGCATCCAAAATGAGTATCAGATACATGTGACAACATTGTCAAAAAAACTCTCTTCAACCTTATGATGCTGCATAATCTCTATTTCCTAGCTCCTTTCCAGTATGAATCCTCTAGCTAAAGAGAAGCTGTCAGTACAAACAGACCCATAAACTTGGATAGGGTCATCTTCTGCTCCTTTCCATTACAATTTATTGATTGCAGTCTAATATGCCAATCAGTCCAGACAACTAGTCAAGGTTTGTTTTTAAAACAAGCAAAACAAACTAAAGGCTTACTAAGTATTTAACAAATACTAATAATGCTACTAATAAATACTATCAAACCTCTTGAACATAGGACTAAGAAACTGATGCCTTGAACATAATAGTTTGGAGGGTCCTTCCCTAAACTTAAGCCTAAACAAAGGATTTTTGAAGAGACACACCCAAAGACTGTGTGAGGGAGCTCAGCTGGTTTAACTGAGAAGCTGTCAAGAAAAAGGGAACAGTGCACATCTCTCCTGTCCATGTGCACAGTTATTTTTCATGTGGCTTATCACCGTATTCTGAAAGACAGTAACAGTCACTCCATGGAGAATCTGCATGGAGTGGCAGAAAAGGAAAATTGTAGTAAAGGGCCTTGCACTAAAAATTTCTTTGCAACAATCTCTAGCCGTTTCAGTCTAAAGGCTGGTAAGCTTGACTGTTGAGTACACTAGAGGAAAGCGCTGGAATCCTGGGCCAGCACAGTATGGAGGACTTTTTACACTGATCTCTGATTTTCTATCTTCTAATTTAAAATTAAAAACCAAATAAAATCTAATGCTAGATAAAGGGTCTCAGAGTGTGGCTTATTGTTTTCACAGTTTTCATGTGTGTTCCAGAAACACTGGAAATTAGGGCAGAGTTCCACCTTCCCACCCAGTTTTTGGTGTGGTGTTTTATCTTGTTTTTCTGCTGTCTGCTGGGTGTCCTCCCTTAACCACCTCTGAAAATTAACCAGCAGTTGCTCATTCTACACCTTCAGATAAAATTTTCTTTCTCAAGATGGGCTGTAGTGGCAGATTTCCAAAGAAATCAGATTTGTGACTGAACTTAAAGCTAAAAGTTTTCCTATGGGATAGCCATATGTGAATTCACCCGTGGGATGCAAGTGCTACATAATCTCTGTAGCTTGCAATGCCTTTTTTCCAAAATAAAAAGCTGAAGTCTTAAAGTAAAAATCCCCAGGATTTTTCTGGAACTTACATTATATTCCCTATATCTGTTTTTCAAATGCAGGTAAGCACTTAGACTGATTTTTACCATCAAATACATACCTTCTATTTCAGCCTTTCACAGGTGGTATATTTTTTCTCCTCTGTAGTCACTGTGGCTTTCTACAACTGAAATGTTACTGCTGGCTCCTGGGATAACCTCTGCTGTCCTGTGCGGACCCCGTTTTCTAAACTCAAATAAATCCTGGACAATGCCAGCAGGATGTGTTCCAAAAAACCTCAGCCTTGCATATGCAAAGGAAGTGATTATGATACCAAATAGGTTTTCATTCCCAGATAATCTATTTATATGGGCAAAACCAAGTTTTTTAGGTGAAGCTGAATTTCTGAGTAGTAAATTGTGAAACTCTAACCTGGACTGTCTTTTCCCTAGACCAAGGGAGATAACCAAAACATAATAATGATACAATCATGCAAAACAGAGGAAGCTTTTTTCAGTATCTTCACATTTGTATTAATTTTTACTATTGATTCTCCCCTAGCAAAAAAGAAAAAAAAAATCAAGCTCCTTTTGATAGTATATTTACTGTAATTTCTTGTATTTACACAGCCTCAGCCAAGGTCAAACTCCTGTTATGAGTACAGTGCAAGCAGAGATGACGTCTGACAATTTTTAGGTTCATTTGCACCTTTCTGATCTTGGATACCCTGCATAACTGAAGTTGTACTCAGTTTTGTTTAAATTTGACCAGTGTCCTGGGCTTTAGCTATTATACCTTAAATTTTTAAAGCAACTCACAGCTCAGCTCAGGGTGATTCTTCCCCAGCCTAGCTGTAGGGAGATTAGAAGAAATCATTTCAGCACTTTTGATATTTTAACTGATGTAAAGAGGTCATACATCATCTCATATGCCTAAGTAGGAAGGATACTAATTCACAAAGGAAGCCCACTGCATTTCCAGAAAATGAGCCCAAGTGTCTTTAGTCCTCTTCAGCTCCTATAGATGCAGATACATAGTAGGTTTCACTCTCCAAAATGAGAGTTTACACTTTCAAAATCAGTGAATTAAAATTATTCAGCACACTGCTTCATACCTGGATCAAACTGAACAAGCTTGGAGGGAGTCACTGTAAAGTCCTTCCCTAGCACAGCAGATATTTCATTGACCTGAGAAGAAATCAAACAGTAAATGCCATGCTGTGACCTATTTCACCAAACCATTGCATTCTGCTGTGTGCTGAAGCTACTGTGTGCCTGTGCATGGAGTCTCAAAAAGACATGCCAACCCATACATGTGCTTAGGCTGAAAAAAAGATAAAGGCCTAGAGAATAAACCTTGTTATATGCAACCATAATGCTGTTCTTGCTCATGAATTAAAACTCATAATCAAAAAAATTTGCTCATGATAAAATTTTGCCTCCTTCCCTCCCAAATTGCTATTTGACAGCATCAGATAACACTGCTGTTCACCATGCCTAGACAGGCACATCATGGCATCCTGGATGAACAGCAGCAGCCTGGCCACCTTTGCCTGTTTAGCCCTTTGCGAGGTCTTGGAAGAAGCGTTTGCACACAGAGGTGTCTGTCAGCCTCAGACTCATTGATATAGCCATGAACCCCTACATACTCCAGTACCCATACCTACCCAAACTCCAGTGACTCACCGGATTTTCATAGGAGACTGGCAGAGGACACCAGCTTACACACTGCATTCTTTTTGCTAGGATCAAATTCACTGGTCTTTTTAGCTTTTGGAGTGACAACCAAAGTCAAGTCACTGAAGTCTGTGAATGATAGGGAAGGATGTCCCCTGATGAAGTCAGGAGCAAAATTACCACTGACTTCAGTGGGAGAAAAATCAAAACTGTATTTCCAATTAGGTTATAATCCTGAGAAACACTGAGGAAAACGTCTAGTATTTTTCTAGGAAGGGGAGCTGGTAAAATACTGGAATATTTGTTTTATGAGGAAAGATAAAATTTGTGAGGGCAAGTTACACAAAACCTGTTTTACAAAATTAGAACCTGCAGCTTTCAGTCTAATTTTTTTGACATAAGACAAGAGACTTAGCAAAGATACAGGGTGTTCCTTGGGCTTTTTCCTAGGCTGATGGCAGTGGGGGGAGAAATAGAGGAGGCTGCTATGACTGCGGAGTTGAAGCTCCCACAGTTCCTGCGCTCTTCCAGCCTGAGCAGGGAAATGAGACGTCCAAAGGCCCCAGCTTGGCCAAAGCCTGGATTTTGATCAGGAAACTGCCTGCTCTGTCATAGAAGGTCATCAGAAGTGAAATACTGGTCCAAAACATTCCGGTTTTGGTTAATCAGCATTTCTACTTAGAAAGTTTTGTCAGAAATTTTTCAACCATCTGTATTGGCAAGGACAATGTCTCAGGAAGTCTGGTTCAAATTACATAGCCTCTGCTGATTACTGAAATACCTTTCAAGTCAGAGGAAGAAATTAACGAGTTCCACTACCTATTAGTAAGTTTCCGGTTAGGAGCTTGGCTTTTGCTTTACCTTCAGGGAGATAAAGGCAGACTCTGCAGAGTGTCCTGCCCTGGTGATTTTCAGAGACACCATGCCCACACTCTCACACACTTCATATTCAGTCTGTTGCATTTCAATCCGAGACCACTGTAGCTCCAGCCTGTGCGAGAGGGGAGAAGCCAGTGTGAAGCAAAGCCACCTCCCCTGCTATCCCCACCCCCTGCTGCTCCAAGGTTCAGTTTCTTTCCTGACTGCTGATTTAGCCAATACACATACAGAGTCTTTGTTTCCAAATCAACACATTTGTGTGATTTGGCTGATTAGAAAGAGGGAGAGGCAGTTAATAAATCTTCCAGTCAAGCCCTGGTCTACCTCAAGGGAAGCCTGAACTTTGTTTCAGAACCAGAAGGGTTCTGCAGCGACTTTGTGAACAGCAGAGTTTGTCTATAACACCAAATAGGCCAAGACAAGCTGCAACTGATTCTTCCTGGTTCCCTTTAACCCTGTAGTTTTATTTTACTTTCACTCCCTGGTATTGTCTCTGCAATATCCTCCTTTCTTCCCACTTTCCTTCAGCTACTGTCTAACTTTCCTCCTCTAGTGTACAGGGCATGCTTTAGGACTTCACCACCTCTATGCGAGTGCCCTCCCCACTCCCTGTACTTTAACACTCTGTACTTCTCCCTTCAGCCATCGAAGTAGCTGAGTTGAGGTGTCTCATACACTGAATTTTAGAATTGTTTATAGGGGATGTGATCAAACCTTGTAGGATTGCATGCTGCACAACGTAGCCAATAAAGGTCTCACCCTTTTAAAAGCTGTGATAAAAAATTAGTGAGAGTCAGAGAGGAACACAAGTGAGTGGAAAGAAGGAAAATGAGGTGTGCTACTTACAAAACAATTTGAACTTCTCCAAAACAAACATCTAGACCTTTCACGGTTGACTAGCTCTAACACCAGTGGAAATTTCCTCCTGTCCTCCTATATCCTCTGGTACTTATTTCGTGGGCAATATGTTTAGAAGCTCATTTGCTTTATTTTTGCTAAAGAGTGTGCGTGTGCCAGATGTAGTCCAGCAGCATTCAGATAAAAGCTGGGATTCAATTTTAATAATACCAACATGCAAATCAAACTTGTATTTTGAACTAGTGACCATTAGGTGATAAATTGTTTATAAAAAACAAAGCAAAACAACCCTCACAAGCTTTTAAATCCAATATTAAAAATATTTTATTTTTTTCCTTAAAAGCCAAATTTCCCTCTGTTCTGAGGTCCAGTGTGGCTAACAGTTAAATTCTACTTTTCTGAAACTCCTATCTTCCATACAAAAAGTGCTTTCTCCTTGCTCTCTTCATAAAGCTATGTTATGAGTTGCTATTTATATACAAGAAGACACATTTTCCCATGAAGAGTGGCAGAGTTTTAATGGTGGTTTTAATACCAGCGCACCTATGAGTCAGGACCACGCAGCGGGACATGCTCAGGTTGGCTGTGTTCAGATGTGTTTGTGTATGGGGGCATCTCTTGGCACAGCACATCTCTGCTGAAACACTGCCTCTAGCTCTGCTCAGTCGCCATCCTCTCCATAGCCTGATGGGAAATGATCTGTGGAGGAGCCTGGTCCCTGGAGACAGCTCTCTGCTCCTTTTCCCTCACCACAAGTAGCCAGGTTAGCCCAGGGAAATAGCGTTAGTTATTTTTCAGCTATATCTGATTAAATAAATTGGTTGAAAATTCAGCCCTATTTTCAGAAATAAAGAGGACTGTTACCCCTGCTGTAGAGCTACTCCCACTTTTGGCCTTTATTATTAAAGCACAGTTCAGATGATACCCCAGTCTCTAATTTTTGTACATGAGGCTTATCATATGTCACAAGGAAATTTTTATAATATGCCTAATATAAATTTTGTCAGTGGATGACAAGATGCTGTGTGCCCTCCACCTTCTTTCAGTGCTCCTTTGCATAAGTTTGACTCTCACAGCTTCTCTGCTTGAGAGCATCCTCTCCATCATGATCTCAAGCTTGTGAAAAAAAGCATTGCCATCAGCACAGGGCAAGAGTGACCTCCAGCTGCAGGACCATGTATGTGAAGCAACAGTCCCATCGCTCAGCACCCAGTATCTCAGGTCTCCAAATGCCCAACTGCTGCTTAAACTCCATTACGCTTTTCTGTGAGGCCCCGAAAGCCCTTGGAAACTCTGTCCCAGTCTAACCTGGAACTAGCCCTTTGTATTTCACCTCCCTGAAGGAACGAAGCCTTATCTACTCTTCAAACAAAAGAAGTAGCATTTTGAGTCATAGTTGTGTTCATGTCTGCGCAGCTTCAAGCACACAGCGCCCTGCAGCACACACCAGCACACACACATTGCTGAGGGTCAGAGCTACCTTTGGGGCACCGCAGCATTTCCACTGGCATCTGTGACTTGAAACTCCAAGTTGTCTGAATTCACTTCCCACAATGGATTGATGACATAAAGTATGATTTTGCTGTTTAAATCCTTTTGGCTAAACTCTTTCTGAATAAATCCACCTGGAAAAGACGAGAAACATTCAGGTGAATCAGCCTGTTAATGAGAACCACATAGCTGATATAGACTGTTTTCAACTTTTTTGTTGTTGTCGAGCACTTAGAAAATTTGGATATAAAGAAACCCAGTTTTATAGCTAAACAGCAACATCCTAGCTCGTTAGAAGCCCCAGCCAATTTCTTCCCATGTGATATGTTTATCAAATGGCCAAGTTCAATATTCATCTTTTTTTTGTCTTGATACAAATGAAAAATAGTTTCTCTATGGCAGCTACTAACAATCGTTTCAAACTGAGGATTCATGATGAGCATGAGACTCAGGTTTCAGTGCAAAAGCTTTCTTACTACATTCAAACCTTTCTCAAAGAAATTTTGATTTCCTCTATCAAGCAATTATTAACAGGGTAGGGTGTGGAATCTGGTCTGGTATGTCCCAAAATACAGAGATTATAGAATACAGCACCTGTTGTTATATTTTCCAGGTAGCCATAATGAGGACCTCGTAAAATCTTAAAAATTATTTTGTCATCTTCTGTATGCGGGTCAGATGCCTTCAGGGACCTGGCAGTAATATAGATCCCGTAATTGCCATTCTTCAGCAGTTCCACATCAGAAAAGCAATGGAGGTGAATAATTTTTGGTGCCATTTTGTCCAAATGATCCACCTAAATCAAAGTTAGACAAATGTGTAGTCATTTTACAGCATCAGGATATTCTCTGTCCTACTTTTCCTAAAAGCACTATATCCTGCTCAGCATGGGAATAGCCACTTTGACTTGCAGTCTTCTCCAGAAGAGGTCTGATCTCCAGTTAAGTACTATTTCCCATGGGAAGTTTCCAGGCCCCTACTATGTGGTCACTTGCTGCATGCAGCAGGATACAGCACACGCTGGGGAAGGCAACACAAATTCTATGTACCTCTGCCCTAATGTCCTACACTTCCCATAGTCCTTCTCCTTTTTAATGTGATATTCTTCATAGCAAATGAAAACTCCAGCAAAGGTTTCTCACCTCTGTTTTACAATAACAAGCATGGAAGCCTACAGATTATAATAAATCACAGTCGTAGACCTGGCCAATATGTCTCCTCAAATCTGTGCCACCTTTCACAACTTCTGATAAATCTTCCAGCACTCTTAAACAGTTGCTGCTGTTTCCATATCTCATCTTCTGCTGAAATGACGCTCCTTGTCCATTACACAACTTCAAACTTTGTCATCACGAAAAGTTAGGAGCCTCTTTGTTAGTATCAGTGTTTTGAAACACAAAATTTTGACATACAATGCAACCAGGCCTGCTTTGCATACTGAAACATGACAGATAGATACATGCATACAAGAAGTCACAGCAAAGGCATCTAAGCCTATGATACAGTAGGAAGAACTTGAAAATGGGGGAAATGGGAAGTGAAGAGAAAGATCCTAGTAAAGGAAGGAAGAATCGAAGCATGCATCTTACAAAGGAAGGAAGACAAGCTCTCCATCTGTGGGAGTGAAGTGTCTGTAATTCAGAACTCCTGTGACATGAAGATTTCATCCTAGTATTACCCTGCACATGCCAATCAGTAGGTTGGGTACTAAGTGGGAAAGCAGAGCAGGAGGAGGTTCATTCCTCCCCATTGCTGGGCTCAACTTCAGGGTTGAAATTTCTATGTAAAATATTTCAGCAAGTGTAAGTATATAAGTATATACTTGCTTATATAAGCAGTATGTCTTTCTTCTCTTAAATACAGTCTCTCTCTTTGCACTCTATAAAATTCTTTGCCTGAGTAATGCATTGTGGCAAGTAGTTAATTCTCCAAGTTAATTATTTACAGAACACAAAAAGCAAACATTTTAGCTGATAAATACCTCAGTTAAATCATAGACTGCAACAAGTACCAGCTGTCATCAAAATTAATACATTTTCCACCTTATGCTACATATCTTTTAAGTAGGCCTGTGGTCACACTTGCCTGAACGGTGAATGCCACTGGCTCACTCTGCACCCTCCCATTCACGATGAATCCTTGATTAGTCCTATCTGTTGCAACAAATGTAAATCTGTCAATCTGGGAGTCCCCACCTCGGTGCTTGTATGCAACATCCCTGTTGTCCACATCTTGCTGGGTGAAATTGTACTGCAGTAGCACAGCTCCTCGATAATAGAGATGACCGTACTGGGGGAGCTGAGCCAAGAGGAAGGTAAGGTTTTCTTTAGCAGTGTCTGGGTCTGAAAGCTGCAGGACATCAGGAGAAAGGACTGCCATAGCACCTTCCACTAGTCTTAACCCTGTGTTCCTAGATAGTGTGGGCAAAGCTTTGTCGACTGCCTCCAAGGAGATCATGAATGTCCCATGCTTAGTCCTCAGTCCATTGCTGATGATGAATCTGGCAAAGAGAGGCAAGGTAGTCTTCAGCATGTGTTCTTGATTCACCATGTACTGAAATGAAATGATAACACACACCTTTACTACAGGACTTGCCTGTGTTGATACTTCAAAAGTAGTAGAGCTGGTTTGAGCTCAAACCTAGACCGTGGGTGGGGTATATGTATAACTTAAAAACACAAAAACAAATGGCCAGGGATATGGCAAGAGTTACAATGCATCTGCAGGAATCTGAGTAGATGCCAGAGGAATGGCTTTGAGGATGTACCCATCAGTCTCTGCAGTCATTACAGAGCTGATCTGACCTTCTAGCTCAGATACAGGTGAAGCAGATCTAAAATGGCGGGATGGCTTATTGCACACTCTGGCATACATACATGTTTGTACACATCCTTAAGTGTATCTCCACTTGGTTACCTGGCAGTGGCAACTGCCAGTGAAAGTGCTGCCTTTGTCTGCAACTTACACAAAGAGGTATGTGAAGTGCATGGTCTGCCTGGATAATGTTGTTTGTTTGTTTTTTTTTTTTTTCTTTAAACTGTTACAAGCCTTTTGTACCCAATAGCCCCAAAACTATCCAAAAAAGCAAGCTGGGCAAAGATTCATCCGCATCTCACTTTACAGTTTTCTTTAGGCACTAACTGTATCTGTAAATTTCTGCATATTCAGAGGAAATGATTTGTGTTTCTTTACAAGTCTAAAGTAAGGTTTCACTGAAATGCTAAGATTCTGTGGTAGATATTGAGCAGAACTATACAAGTTGCTAGGGTCATTTTTAAAATTTAGATGTCCATACCATGTATTTATCAAAGGGTCAGATGTGCAAAGTTCTTATTCCATGCTGGGAATTTCTATTAACAGCAGCATAGTTTCTTATAGTTCTCTCTCAAGTAGTAATTTTTCTTTAGATATACTAAAGATTTTATTATGTTCTACTTTTAATTTTCCTTTCCAAAACAAGATAAAGATAAAGGTGCCTAAGGCTGGAGAGAAAATCTGTTGGAAGCCTACCAGCTGGGTATGGGCTTTTGCCATACCAAGTGACAGCACGTTCTGCAAATTCAGTTGTGGATAAAAATAAAGAGAAGACCAATTTTTTAGCCTTCAAAATTAATCCTAGATTTCATTGTCAAGATTATTACTTAAGTATTTTTTCTGAAAGCAATTACATTGCATGTTGTCATGCCTGTAACAAAAACTTTTGAGGGTATATGAAACTAAAAATTGCTTTGCAAATGTCTCGCAATCCTTCATGTCCCATCTCCACATAGTATATAAGGGTTACCTTTCTTTCTATAGGTGTTTTGTGGTTGTGTTGCACAGTATATGCAAAAGCATCTTCGAGAGTGGTTTTCACCCAGGTTTGTTCTGTCTGAGCCAAAACAGAGTCTGCTTTGCAAATAAGTTTGCTGGTGGTAGACTATTAACATTTCCAGACCTTTTTTTCTCTCACCCACCAATGTCCAGCGCTTTGAATGTACATACAGTTACACTTATGCAGTTGATCTTGTATGGGACAGAATCATGGGATGGTTGTTTAAGACAACGTGAGGGCCAGCCTAGCTGGCTGCTTTCCACCTAGCATGTTTCTAGCATACATAAGTGAAATGGGAACTGGTTGACATTTAGATTACCTGCCTCCTATTGCTCTCTTGACTACAGACCTCAAAGAAGTGTTTAAACAATTACAGGGGTCAGAACTTGGTCTACTGTTGCGTGCCTTGAATGTAAGCAACCTTCAGTAGATCCTGGAGTAGCATACTGTGTCACACAAACTGTCCATCTAAAACTCCTTACTGCCTTCACCAATGCTGGATGATTAGGGTTTGATCAACTTGTAAGCTGGCAGTATGCCGTGAAACAGATGGGAATGAGCATAGGCAGACCAGGGACTATATAGCAGTTAGAAATATGTTCACTGAGGATGGTATTCCCAGCTGGGAACCTAGAAGCATCTGTCTGCACTGACCTAATGCTATTGTGCCAATGGTAAAAGAGTTGTGCTATCAGAAATCTAGCTGAAATAAAAAAAAAAAAAAAAAAGGAAAATGAAAAAGCAAAACACATTCAGTCAAGACCTTAACCATCTCTCAGAAAGTCTGAAAGACTGAAGTGGAAGTGAGTTTCCTCTGGTTCTTCTGATGGCTGTAAAATCATTTGGATGATGTCTCAAACAGTATTTAAGTGAAAGACTTCAGTAATTCAATTAATGAAACTGAAGATTCTTCCAGTCTTCTACAGAATATTAGGTAGGAGCTAAACCTCCTGCTTATATACATGAGGCTGAAATCTGCAATGCAAATATCATATGCCACTTAATTTCACAGGTGATAAAGCTGCCTGTGACCAAGATGTCCTTTTTTTCTGCACTTTGGGAGATTTCTGTTGTTTATTTCTGATTTATGGCTGCTTCATCTTTTCCTTCAGAATGGAGAGCAGCCAATATTCTCCTCACTCTGATGACATTTAGGGGACAACTCTCAGGCACAGTTAGGAGGACATGTTGCATGGTTTGATTTCACCATTACCAGCATTTCATGCTTTCTGCAGTTTGATGGCAACAGAGTTGGCTGTAGGACCTGCCATCTGTCATGGCATTTAAAAGATAAAAATGGAATCATAAATAGTGCCAGCTCATTACAAAATCGAGCCAGCATGTCAAAATGGAGGACATTAGCATGTTCTTTTAGTATCCTGCTGCCAGCATCTGATGTCAGGTTGCTAATCACTTGAAGTCATATGTCCAAACAAGCACTGCCAAATCTTTCTTCCAGGCTAGCAGCACCAAACAATACAGGCAAATTTATGTCTGAAGGAGGTACTTCAGTGGAAAGTAAAAATCTGATCAGTGAATCCCCCACCCCCCACCCTACCATACTTACCCATATAATTAATGTAACCATTCCTTGTTTAAATAATAATAATGTTCTGCCACAATATTTATGTGTCTACACAAAACCAAATTCTTTTCCAAATTATAACATCAAGGAACATCAATTATTGTGATTAAAATAGTTACTGAATATCAATATTTATTAAAGCATCATAACCTTACTTTTACAAGGCTGACTTTCTCGTTTGGTTCTTAGCCATTGGCCTAAACAGAAGACATTGGGTTTATTCACACACAGTTTCCCTGGAATTGTTTGGTCTGCTTTCATTAGTGTGGTATAGAAGTCACACTGATGCAAGCCACTCCTACAGTGCCCAGTTTAGGATTGACATGACTGTAGCCTTACTTATCTAAGCTAATCTAGTTTTGGTCATAGTGTTTCACAGTCAAGAAACATGAAGCCAGAGTATATTTGTTCACTTCTTCTGTTATGACTACAAGTGGATCAAACAACTCTCTTGAATTTAGTGAAAGGGATAGTTTAAAATGTTTCAACTGAAGAAAGGCCCAAAACTCCTTTTGTCTTAACTCTAGATAATGTCACCTGAGCTGACCTGGTGTCATAGGGAGGTTTATTTGATGTCTCCATGCCCCACTTGCTTGCCTTCCCTGCAAAAGAGCTCTCAAGCTAGATGACACATCATGTTCTTGAATCTTCATCATGCATCATGGAAAATGCCATTCAGATCTGGAATCTATTCATAAGACAGTGCAAAAACGAGTCTTTTCTGAATTGCAACTGTTAGGAGCTAAATCCTTTATTTTAAGTCATCATAAATAAAAAAACAATAAGCTTTTATTTTTGTGTAGAAAATTTAAATATTACAGAAAGTCCATTTTCTATCAAAAGCTGTTTTTAGAGGAAATTGCCAATGCTAGCAAGAAGTTAGCGTTCCTCCTTTACAAACATTTCCTTATTTCTGAGCTTTTATATTTTTCCTGAATTTGCTCTCTTTTACAAAAATGTCCCCAAGACTTAGAGAGATAATACACCTACTCTGTCTTTACCTGATGACAAGTCATTACATCCACTCTATAACCAATGGAGGTTCTTTTAAGAACACAATAAGGAAGTATTCAGTTTAGGAGTGCATCTAGTCTAAGCTGGTCTAAGGGTTCAGAACCAGGTGAAAGTAAACTTAAATATCACTAGGCTGCTGAACTGGGCCTATTAGGTAACCAAGTTTACTCAAAAATCCAATTGTCTACACCAATTTCTGAGCTATTGTGGTGTCAGACTAGGTAAAAGGATTGGTTTTCAGTACTCAAGAACTACTTATGGATTCAAAGAGCCTGGAACTGAATGAATATGGTAAATAAGAATAGACAAGAAAGCAGTTATTTAATACCTGGATGGACCAGTTTTACCACATCCAGCTGCAGCAAGAAACCAAAGGAAAATTCTACAAAGTATGTTCTTAGTCATTCTCCCTCACTTAAACCTTAACAGCTGTGTACATTTTGTGTATATTGAAGCTAGTATCATTGAGTGAGTGTGGCTCTGGCTACAGTTTCACTATCAATTAGAAAATGCATTTATTACCAAATCAGTCACAACTATGTGTGTGATAGCAGAAATCTGTTTGCTGTATAAACATTGAGAATTCCCACAGAGCTTCTACCTCTTTTAAATAATTTGTTTGGGGGGTTTTGTTTGGTTTCTGTTGTGGGTTTTTTAAAATACCCAAGAAATCCAAGGGAAAAAGTTTGGGAGGTGGGGTGTTATGCCTTACCTGAATATATCTTCAGGAACAACCACCTCTGTGTTGTGAACATAGCAGACTATCTGTCTGGCTACATCCATTTGACTGAAGCTTGCAATGGGAATGCCAGGATAGCTGACATACTCTATTTGTCCATACTGGGGTGGGGAAGTTATCACATAGAGTAGCTCCTCTGGCTTGTCAGTACCATCCATTGCAAGGAGGACATCGGTTGTAATGTAGCCCTGATTCCCTTTTGGCACTCTAAGAGGTTTTATGAAAATAGCAATGTCTCCTGCAGGACAGACAAAACAACATTAAACGAGTCATATTGAATTGTAAATTGATCTCTTACGCATTATTTAGCCACATGCAAGCTATCACCAGTAGAAAAATCATAGGATTATAGGGAAATTCAGGCTTGAAGGGACTTCAGGATGTTACTAGTCCGACCTTCTGCTCAAAGCGGGGTAAACTGTGAGATTAACTGTAACCAGGTTGCTCAGGGCTTTATCCCATCAGGGCTTGAAAACAGCCAGCGATTGAGACAGCACTTCTCAGAACCCTTGTTCCAATCTTAGTGTCAGGTTAACTTGGTCTAATTTAGGTTTCTAATAGGGATTCAATAAAGGAAGTGAGATCATAAGACTAGAGGATAAACCTGGGAGACAAAGGTCTTCTTGAACAGAGTTTTGCATACCTTATTACATTCTTGTGATTCTTCTGTGCTTTGATTTACTCAGACATAAGGCTAATTTCAGAAGAATATTTTCAATTCTATTTGAAATGTAGCTGGGCATCCTGGGAGGCAAGGTGCAACACGTTGCCTTAGGCAGAGCCTTTTCAAATCCCAGGACCACTTCTTCACCAGCAGAAACAACAGGGGTCTGGCCATCAGTGAAATCCAAGCAGACGGACTTATGGAATCTGCAGGGAGACTTGCCAAGGGCCTATATAGCAGTCAGGGAAGGGTGAGGACATTTACTCAGATCATCTTTGTTTCAGAAACATGCACTGTAAAACATTGTCTGGCAGATCTTTACCCTTTTCCATGTCCTTGATATTTATGTTGAAGTCCACAGCTGGGGATCTGTTGTACCCATCCCACAGATAAAACGTGAAGCTGTCTCGGTTCTTGGACCCTATAGCTCCCGTATGGACATATCTCACAAGATTCATATCCAGTTCTTCCTGAGTGCACTTCATTCCAGTTTGGAGAGTCATCCAGCCTTGGCCCACCTAGAAAGAATTAACACGTTTCATTAAACAGATAGTGTCCCATTCATCCTTCCCAGTTAACTGGGTTTATTTGCAGTTATGCAGACTGTTAGTGGCAACTACTTGGCTTCCTTTCTAAGCTATAGACTATTTCCTCATAGTATGTTTTGAACGGCAGTAAATAGCTGGAGTTATTCCCAAGAAGGTACAGGCTGGAGAAGATACAGTGATCATTAATAAAATGGAGTGAGTGCAGTTTAATCACTTTCACTCCAGGAAATACATTCCTTCGCACTTCTCAATGAAACACCAAGCTTTAATGCTTGGTTTTCCCCCTCCATGGGCTGATTCTCCCAGCATCTCTCTCCATTGTCACCCTAGATGATCTGCCATGCTTTTCACCCTCCCTTTCCTCCTCTTGAGGATCTGGCCTGTAGTGTCAAAGCCTCTGGGACAGCATCATTGTATGGTTTAAACATTATTCCAACAATCAAACTGGCCACAGCTGCCTACTTCAAAACATGACAGACATTTGGGAGAAAAGGAAAATTAACTTCATTCTACCCTAAAAAAAGAGAGTTCTTTGCATGCCTGCTTTTTGTTGAAGCACAAAGACTAACCTTGAGCTGAAGCTGACCATTTTCTGGAAGTCTTTCAAATAAGTAGTAAATTCTGTCCCTGGGGGTGTCTTTATCTTCTGCTGACAGAACAGCACTAGAAATTATTCGAGTTTCACCCATGCTCACTTCTATACCGTCCTTCCTGCAAAAATTAAAAGTCAAGTATTGATGAAATAAAAGCAACCTTTCCAGCACATAATTTCTCTGCCAGAAATATGGATTACTCAGATGCTGACAGAAATTACAACTGCAGAAAGAATGGAAGGAAGGTGCCTATTTCAGTTAAAAACAGAAAAAGAGCAAACAGGGTAGACCAGCTTCTCCGTATAATGGTGCAAAACAGGAAAGTAGATACCTACAACAACCTAGGATTTACCATGTCTTCTTCCCCTTGGCCCTATTCCACTTACCTTCATACAATTTTTAAGTAGAGGACAATGTAAACAAAGAGGCTGTATTATATGTTACTGCTACTGTAGACCATTGCAATACTGGCTCTAATGACTTGATTGTTCTTTAAAGACTGTCTTTCAAATGACTAGCCTTTAAGAGACACTATAAAGACTTAACTGGCTTCTTCTCTATGCTCCCCATTGAAGAATTTTTGTGGGTTCTTTATTCAGAAAAGTAGATTAAGGCCATTTGTTCCTTGGCATAAATTGCATCACAAACCACAAATAAAATTTGAGGCAGGTCTGAGGAAAAAAAGTCCCACACAGTTTGAAATTCATGGAGAGTCTTGATCCAGGATGATTCTCAGATCATGTCTCCTCTGTTTCCATTGTCAGCTACTAACCATCCTCCAGTTTGCCTCTGCACATCCTGCTTTATCATTTTGCTGTTAGCTTTCTTACATTTTAGCAATATAGCAGCCAAATAGTATTATTAGACTATACAAAAGTTTCAAGGAGGTTGGAGGGGATTCAGCATATTCAGTCACCCCAGGGATGGGAACTGCTCAAGCTAATCTGCCCAGGGGCCATGGAGCAGGTTGGAAAAGGACAGAATCCTTAGGCATTTGGGCAGCTAAGCTCTGCTGGATGCAGCTGAGCATGTGAAAGCCATGCTATTTCAAAGGCCAAATACAGATAGATTTTTGCAAGAACTGCTGAAGACACATTGTTCATATAACAGCCCTTTCCTTTGCCAAGCTGCAAGTGCCTGCTACAAAGCAGAGTGACAACAGATTTCCAAGGAAGAAGTTGTCACAATTATTTAGTGATTTGGGAAAATACGTTTATTATTCTCAGAGAGAGTGGAGATTTTTTTTTCCTGAAGTTTCATATTCAAACTGATATGGATATGACACATAGAAACTTCATGTTTGACAAAAGCAGAGAAGATGAAGCCATATGACAAAGTATATCAAGTCATATTAGTGACAAAGCAACCTTAATGGTTTGCTTATACCAGCCATAAATATGCTGGGACAATGCAAACCAGATGTCTGACCCAACGACTCTATGAGCCACGAAGAGAAGATTCAAACAAAAAAATAAGTGAAGATAAACACACTTAGCTACACCCTGAATGCTGTCTAATCCCAAATCATTTTTCTGTGTAGCAGTTAGTTGGTTAATTCCTCCTATCACCCACATGTCTAATCTTGAGAAGAAGCTTCCAAGGGGAATGTGTGAGTGCCTTACATTCCCCAAGGGCACTCTTAGCCACAGGACAAAATCCAAGAGGTAACAGATTGATGTTTTGGCAGTCATTGTGAATAAGAGCCACTGTTTGCCAGACAAAAACATCCCATCCCAGATTTTTCAGTCTGTTGACCATAGCTAATGGAGATGAGAGCTGAAACTCCCTGGGGTGGAAAAGTGTCCCCAGATCAAAAGGTGAGAAAAAGCTTACAGGTATTGTCAGATGCTCACCTGTAAAACACTGCAGTGGCATAAGGGAGCTCCTACCCCAAGGCAAAGATGTGGTGACTGAATGTGGCAGCTAAACCACCTCAGTGCCAAACTGAACATGTTTCCTTAAAGCACTATTGCTTAACTGCTGTCAGCTTACTGCATCTCAGTGGAAGAGTAACAGGCAAGGAGCAGTAACTTCTTCTAATGAAATAGCTATTTTGCAAGTAAATGGCTCACTGTGTGCTACTGTTCACCAGAGGTATGGCAAAAGGTGAGATCTAACATTGCCTGACAAGGCAGCAACAGTTTCTGGATCCAGCTGGGCAAAGCTGAAAACATTTTACTTCTTGTACTCCATCACCTTCCTTCAGAGAGGAAGGGTGGAGAATGACATATCCATTTTTTAACATGTGAGCAACAACTAGGCAATTATCAGTAATTATCAGTACATGATATGAATACATAAACTATACTTGTTATTCTAACTAGAAATGGACTTTCTGTCTTGATAGCGTTATGTGGTCCTTCATAATCTTTCAACTATAAAACTAACGTCTGCTAATGCAGGAAGCTCTACATAGTAAACAAAACATTAAAAGCTCTCTGCAGTGGGAAATGTAGGTCTGATCTGAAGGTCGGCCGAATATCCTGAGGGATCAGAAATTCCCACTCTAGTGGCAGCCTGCTTAACAAGCTGCAAGTCATTTCCAAAATACAAACTTTAGAGGTTTGGAGCTATACCCTCAAAGCCTTCAGGCCCACAGCTCCCCATCTGCATCCCTGGGGCTGGAAAGCAGCCAGGAGGACAGGGGGCCTGATACTCTGTGCAGGTCATCAACTAAAAAAATGGAGATCCCAAGAGATGAGCTCCTTGTTAAAATGTTCAGGAGGCTTGGTTCCCTTGCAGCCAGCTGCTTATCTGCAAATAGTCTGCCAGGCCGTTTATGACCATGTCTAATTTGTTTATGAGTCCTAGTTTTGAACTGTAAGGGTAATTAGCATGTACCTTTTCAGAAGTTGAATTATGGCTGAGCAGTATAATTTTATATCAGAAAGTAAGAGAATCATTAAGCTGAAAAGCTTTCCCCTGTCAGGCGAGGAGACATCAACTCTGTGGATTCTCTCATGTCAAAATCCAGAGCTGCTTTCAGAGGGGTGTTTTAGACAGACAGTTGCCCCAGGGAAGGGGAAAGCAAAGTAACTGTAGTCGATACCATGGTGGTCAGTGGCCAGCAGAGGTGTGCAAAGATCAGGTCTTTCGGGCAAACATCTTGAAGTAAGTTGTGAAACGCAAAATAAGCATGTTCCCCCCCCCCCTTTTTTTTTTCCTATTTTCTTTTAATACTGAGCAACATTAAAACATGCCTTTCTTTTCACTAAAAATGTTTTTGTTAAACAGGCTGATAGAGAACCACATGGAAACATCTGTATTGATATTAGTCTGTGACTGGTTATAGCACCCTCTCCCCATCAGTCACCAATTTGCTGTTTTGATCACTTTTGGATCATTTTGTCTGAACTCATCCATCTGTTAGAGACAGGAACATGTGGCTTACTTGCTCAGCACTGGTTTCTCATCATTAACTGGAATGACCTTTACCGAAATGGTTCTGAGGACTTTATGTTTCCCATCTGATAGCTGGATTTTAAAGCTGTCAGTGAGGTTTTCCGAATTGTCATGCATGTACATCAGCTTCATTCCTATGCAGGGAGAGGGGGAGGGTGGGGGGAGAAGAGAGAGAGAGAGAAAGAGGAAGAGAGGGAGAAATGGAAAGAACAAAAGAACAAATAAATCTGACTCCTGCAAAATCTATCACAATGATTCACTCTGCTTCCATCACCATTCTTTCCATCTTCCCTCCCCATATGCCCTGGTCACAGGAAGCTTGTTTCAGCTACCAGAAGATGAGCTTGGCGAGCCACTGCTGTTCATTAATCTAACAATATACTATTGACTCAGATACCAGACTGACCTGGGTAAGGAGTGACTCCCTTCACAAAAGAGTCTCTGTTGGTCTGAAAAAGGCACATTTCTTCTCCTGTCCTCATTCCAATTAGTTTTAACAGGGAACCATAGGAAGGGTGAGACTACCAGGCAACAATTTTCTGTGCTTTAAATAATCCTCAGGGAGCTTTAAACATGTGTTGGGGAGGACAGCTGGCTTTATGACTTATGAAAATGAACAATCAGAAGACCTGAGCTAGGGGTGACTTGGTCACTGTTGTGGACAAGAAAAGAGAAAAGCCAAGCAATTTGAGGAGAGTCAAAAACAGGACTGGGGAAGGCTGAGGAATTTGGGGTGGGGACATGATATTTCTGAAGGTTCATATTAGACAGTCAGAGAGAAGAAAAATCTTTCCTTGGGTTTTGGGGGCTGAACTACAACCTGAGTGGCAGGATTGATTTCATGTCTCTCTTTATATTGATAGATCCCATATTTCACTAAATGGCCACAGTATGGAAGAATCCACAGTACTACTGGCAGTGTTAAATACACTTTTTGATTACATGTCCTTGAAAGAGCTTTGTTGCTTCAAAGCAATGTAACTGATCATGATAAGATATAGAGCCCCAGCTCACACCTTCATCATTAGGTATATATCGTGGCCTTTCAATATATAAAGGAAAGATGAAGAGAGACTTTTCACCAATGCCTGTAGTAACAAGACAAGGGACAAGGGTTTAAACTGAAAGAGGGTAGGTTTAGATTGGATGTAAGGAAAATATGATTTAAAATAAGTGTGTTGAGACCCTGGAAGTGTTCAAGGTCAGGCTGGATGGGGCTTTGGGCAACCTGATGTAGTGAAAGATATCCCTGCCCGTGTCAGGAGGGTTGGATCCTTAAAGGTCGCTTCCAACCCAAACCATTCTATGATTCTATGATTCTGTGATCATTTAGAGAGATATTTAACTTCATGATCAGTTAATGTGTTTTTAAATCTCTCTGTCTCTGTTCTAGATGCTGCCAAATATTCTGAAATCTGTTTGCTGATATGTTAGAATATTCCCTTTATTTTTCCAAGGCAGATGGCCTCCCTAGTCTTATTACTACCCCTTCTGACATGTAGGCCTCTCAGGGAGATTTTACTGACAGTTCCTAAAATCAATAGACAACATTAGCATTAAATAGGTTAACTTTTATTCCTAAACATTGTCTTGGAAATAGACACAAGGCAAGTGAATAAATAAGTGGTGAAGGTTTCTTACTGTGCCACCTTGACTCATTATAGGAATGAAAGACCAATGTCAGAAGAATGCTGCACCTACCATTCTTCAGTAGCTCCATGGAAAAGTCATGAACAAGCAACTCATGGCTGTAGTGCTCATGGTTAACTAGATGTTTATAGTGTAGAATATCATTGCCATGAACTCCATTAATAAGGAACCCATACCAGGGCCTCTGCACAACCCCAAATACCAAATGGTCTCGAGGCACATCCAGATCAACTGCATTGATAACAGAGAGATCCAGCTCTTTCATCTCCCCCTCTTGAACCTGAACATAAAAGAGACAAATGTCCAATTATTTTACATAAAAATAAATTATAGAATTTTAGCATGGTTTCCCAAGTAGGGTATTTTGGTGTATGAGTGTATCTCTTTGTCTTCTCTGCCCCTTTCCCAGTAGCTTTTGAACCAGCTTCTGATTTCAACCAATTTAAGAGACATAAAGTAGTAAATGGTTACAGTGATGAAAAGAGGTGACATAAGGAGTTCATATCTGACCTAATTAATAGAAAAACTGTTATGTAAGAGAACTTCATATTAAGTGCTAGGGAATGCACAGAAAATAAAGCTTTTAAATACGTATATATATAAATATGAATGTCTATAAATTTATACACATACATTCACTTTTTACAGTAAGATGAGCTTACACTGACATGGTGGTCACAGAATTATTATTTCTGTTAAAAGCAGTCTTCAGAGAGGAGATGCCAGAAACATAAAAAAACTCTACAAAAAAAAATTATAAAAGCTCTTGAGAAACCAGAAGAAGCATGAAGATCCTTCTGCTTTCTAGATAACTTACTTGTTTAAAGCTTTGAGCCTTTTTTTTTTTTTTACTTAACTGCAGGTTACCAAACAGAGCTTTCTTTGCACTGCTCCAGTTCCGCTGAAGCTCTGTTTTATAGGTTTACATGGGATTTAACTGGGCTGTTTCCTGAACTAGGCTGAACTACACAAAGGGAAAAATGCAGAGGAACAAGTGTCAGAACAGTGTTATTTACAGTAAAGAGTGTTTTTTGGTGTAAAATAATTCTTTCCTTACGGTAATATTCCTTGCTATGAACTCTGGGACTTCATCATTGGTTGGGTTGATCAGCACAAAAAATGGAGACTCTGCTGAGCGATGCAGCCCATCAGTGACATAAAGTACAAAGTGGTCTGCTGTTGGCTCCACGCGCATATGCCTGGCTTGTACGTAGTTTATGTTCAGGGCTTTCAGGTGCTTCAGCTGAAATGAAGCTAGAGATTTCAAGATGATGAGTTAGCACAGTCTTTTCCTGCCTTCTTCTCTTACAGATCATAAAACAAATCTGAAACTATGTCTCTCTTCAAAGAACAAACAACTTGGATTTTCTAAGTTCTGAGGCATGTTTTGACTGAAAGAGTTACACTGCACGTGTTACAGCAGGATGCGGGCCCTTCCCCTGAAACAAAAATACATCCTATCCTTCTGCACCTTGTGGGATTGTGCAACTTCATGCTTCTCAGTTCAATCTGTAGAACTGAGCCCAAATAAAGAGATCCAAATAACAGGTAGGAAAAAATCTGAGGTCTAAGTGATTACTTTGACTGTTATTTGACTGACAGACCAGGAAAATGGGGAGCAAAAGACTCAGTGATTCTCAGCATCCACCTGGATACACTGGTAAAAGCTGGTAACATTACAGAGCATGCCGCAATCTGTTCTGCTGAGGATTAAACTGCCTTACAATGTTTGAAGGTGGACAAGGGAAGAGACCCAAAACATCCAGCATCTCTATTAACTTTGCTTTGGAAACTAACGTGGGACCCAGACTTTTCAAATTCTCAGCTACAGCAGTTAATTGACAGAAGCATAGGTGAAGGGAAGTGTGGGAGCCTTATGTGAGAGAGTGGAGGGGGAGGCAGAGAGGGCAGATTAGTATATTGTATCACTGCTTCTGATAGATTGCAGCTGGAATGCATAAAACAAGGATTGGCTTGTTTGCTTCAAGTGCCAATTCTTCACATTTGCAGAGCTACAGTCTCTCTTTGAACTCCTCCCACACAGTCCCACTGGTCTTCATTTGCCAGCACCTGCCTTCCTCAATAAGCCCTATTAATGTGCACACCTGCAGCTACTTCACCAGAGCCCATCGCACAGCCCTCCACAAGCCCTCTGTGTTTCATCTGCTTCACTACGGTATGTCATTAAGACTTACTTACCTATACTTATACCAGTGTTGCTCTTCTCAAACCCAGGAGAAGGCAGTATATTTTCAATGTACCCAAACTGGGGAGGAGAAACCAAGACAAACTCTAAATCATCTGCAGTGGTGTCAGGGTCGGTGGCAAACAAATGGTGGGTGGTAAGGGCTGCTGAGGAGCCTTCCTCCACCACAAACCTTGCACCTGCACACAAACAGTGATAAGCATTATTGCTTATTTAGCTCACTTTACTCTGGTTTTTGTTAACAAGAATCGAAATAATAACTAAGGGGGAGAAGACGAAAATACTGAGTTACTGAGAGGTTTTGGCTTGGTTTGTTAGTTTTGTTTGTTTTTGTTTTGTTTTCCCTTCCCTGCTTATACCATTAACTCTGCTTTTGCCATCATGTAAGTAAAGAAGAAGGGGATCATGAAGTTATTTTACTGGTAAATTATTAGGTATGGTTTATGTGCTACTCAAAATCAGTTGTTACCTCCGTTTGTCAGAGCTTTAATTACATGAGAGCTGTTATGAATTGCTCATAATGAACAATTTCTCAGGCATCACTGCTTGATTTCCCTGCTGGGACAATGCTTCATTTCTAGAACATTACTCGAGCAAGAGCCTGCAAATTACAGAACTACTTGTACATATGCTTAAATATTCTCTGAGATACATAACATATACGTGATTCTTACAAACAAATGACATTGAAAAAGACAAGCATACAGAAAGCATGCCTTTAATAGGTATACTACAGACCTCATCCAAAGCACAGAAAGTCAGTGGAAATTTCAGACAATGGGCTTGTTGTTGGACTAAATGTACACTACCAACACTATTTCCATTTTAAGTGAGTATTTTTGATCCTGAAGATTACTAATGAAAATGTGGCTTCACATCTAATTTGATCTATTACATATACAGCCTAGATTTATCATTATTCACTAACTGAATTAAATATAGGTAATAAAAGATTATCTCCCTTCATATAAGGGCCAGAGTCTAAATTTCTGTTGTGTGCTTTACATGCAAAGATATATAGATATTTATGTTTATGGTTTTGCACTGTATAAACCTGACAATTGTCTGGACCTACATTCAGTTCAGGGACAAGGTATCGATCACTTTTACTCTGATATAGCTTACATATGTAGCAATGGACATGTATAGATGGAGGGGAGCAGATCTGAGCACCTTTATCTCTAACCACAGAATATAAACATGCAGCTGAAGAGCCACAGTTACTCATACTTGCACCTGCAGCTGAATTTGGTGGTTGAACTGTACTAACAACAGAAAAAAATTACTGATGGAAATTCTGATCCAAAATTTTTGTATGCTGATCTCAGCTGACTCTTTCTGATGCTAAGAAACAAACAAACACCCTGAGTCTTTAGCCATTACAGTACTACATAGCCTACACTGTAATTCTATAGTGAGAGGAAGTTTCACCAGTTGCAATTGATGGAGGCTGGTTGTCCACTGGAACTACAGTGATGTTAAGGTCATATACTGGAAATGGATCATGAATTGGAACTGGAGGAGGAAGGGGTCCATCATCGCAGCAGTCTTTCACATCTAGGCCAGCCTCACTGTCAGAGACAATGAAGGTTAAGATCTCAATGGAAGGAGTCAGCCCAATCTCCCCACCTAGAAAAAATATTCAGAAAAGATGTTTTACCAAAACTTCATGAAGAGTAATTTTGCATCCTTCAAGGACAGTCTGCAGGTTTTGAAGTCAGAAGAAAAAAACAACAGCAAAATTACTACGATTCTTATTTGTGGCCATTGGGGATGCTGTTTGGTTGGGGATTTGGTTTGTTTGCAACTAATTTTAACCAGCTTACTTCTATTTTAGAATAAAAGGGTGCAGAAAAGTATATAACTAAGCTAGTAGTACTAACAGTTATAATTATTGCATTGTTGTAATATTATATTATAATAAAATTGCTAATAGTTCTCATGATTCTGTTCTTTGTGCACTAAGGCAGGTGCAAAATGTACATTTATGAAGAGGTTTTTTCTGCATTCCTTCTTGAGAATGTAGGAAAATATCTTTCATATATATATATATATATACACACTCTCTATGACAAGTGGTAATACACATGTTCTTCCAGAATAAAACATTTTTGCATACCAAGAAATGCATTTATTCCTATATGCCTCTTATCCCTACAAAATGGACTATAACAAGGGCTGTGGTTTTTTACTATACTGTATATTATGCCTATACGTAACCACATTCAAAATGTGGCTTGATATAGTACAGGACTGGGAACTGCCACCCCTTGCAAGAAGAATCTGTGGCTGACTGTACTCCAGTTCTCAGCACTTCTATCAGTCTGTGTCTTGCCCTCCTGCAAGATATTACTAATAAATTGCCTGCAAAGGAAAGGCAGTGACTCCCACCCTCTCTTGCTGAATCTACTGGCAGCACATTTAATGTGTAGAAATTTGGGAATGAAAAACACAGGCACTGCACCCTTGAAGGTCAGCTTCTGCCCTTCATTGCCTCTGCAAACACTGCCATTGAACCAACATTCCTGGTATCTCTAGGATGCTGAAGAAAAGTTTGTTATGGGTGGCTGTATCAAGTACTTCCTTCTCTTCTCAAATACCAGCTGTTCACTTTAGATAATGCCAAGCCTGAAAATATTGCACATATATATTCTCCATGCTAGCACAAAATTACAAACTAATTACACAGAACACTAGAGCCTTAAAAAAAAAAAAAAAGACTAAAGCTGTCATCAGAGATGTAGGCAAGAGAACCCCTTTAATGCAAATGAAAGGACGAAATTAAGTAGGAAAGGGAGTTAACTGGCCCTTGATTTCTGTAATTAAAACAAAAGTATTTTTGGAGTTTAAAGATAAAAAACACAAAATAACATCTTTTTAGCACTACAGTTCTCCAGAAAAAAATCTGAATATCATTTATTGTGTGGTACAGAAAGACTGTAAACTGTCCAAAAGTAGATATCCATCTAGATTGGACAGGCAAGCAAGTAGTACCTCAGATTGTTAGCAGTTTTCTATTAAAACCCAGCATCCTCATTTGCAGCATTACATTACTTTATCTAATCGTGACTATGGAAAAAGGTCAAAGTTTTTTTTTTAATGTCATGAAACAAATAAGAAAACTCTATTTTTATCAGCAACAGTGAAAGAGATCCTCCAGGATTATGATGTTTTCATGTACTTATTCTAATATAATTTTCAGTTCAAACGGGGATTTGGAGGATACATTAAAACATTTGTTAGTTGTATATCATTGGCCCTCTTTCAAAGCCAGCTTACTTTTTCTCTCTAGTCACAACACATGTGGTTTCTCAGTAGTTCCTGCTGAGCTTCTGCAAAGATTATGTGGATCCAGGTTAAGATTTTCTGCCAAAAAAACTGTCTGACCACCTTCCAGTCTAATTCTGTCCTTAACTCACTTACTGGTGTGCTTGTATGTGACTAAACCAGAGATGACATCAGCTTGGGAGAAATGATCCACAGCAATGCCAGCTTTCCTCACTACTCCATGGTAGGGCTGGTGAGCCAGGATAAACATGAGTTTCATGTCATCACTGTCTGCATCTGTGGCATAAATGTACTCTGAGGAGAGGACCACTTCTTCACCCTCCAGGCAGTGGAGTACAGGAGTAAGGCCTGTTCGCATCACAGGTGGCTCGTCATTCACAGGCAACACCTAATCAAAAAAATAATTTCAGATCTTTTATTTTTCATTTCAGTGGAAACCTGTTGTTTTAATTCATTACTTTCCAGCCCAAACTAGCAGTATGGTGTCAGCATACACTGAGCTCTCCCTATGAACAAAATGAAAGCCACTGAATTAGGGTCACTCTTAAAATACAAAGACAAAAGTAAACCAAACTCAATAATTTCACCTTAAGAAAGGAAACTCACTCCCCATATTTAAGTACAAAGAAAATAATTCCAGGTAGAAGAACCCAAGCTAGAGCAAGCACAAATGTCTCTCAGCTAGTACAAGCCAAATCTCCTCTCAAATTTGCCACATAAACCTGAAAGCTAGGGTCAAAACAGAAGCCCAACAGATTCATTATCTTCCAATTTCGAAGAGAATGTGAAGACTTTCAGAAGCCATGTGCTGGACTCTTCTACCCAGGCAATTGCTCTCAGAAATATGCAACACACTGACCTTGACCTGCAAGATGAACTCTACAAAGTGGATGCCATCTGTGGCTGCAAAGAGGACATGATCAGTGAGAGTCTCAGAGCCATCATGCCGATACCTGTGAAGAAAAAAAAGGAGCTACACAGATTTCAGACAGACAAAGAAGCTCTGCTTTTAGGTCATGCTAGACAATGTGGATCCCTCCCAATATAAATAAGCTGGTGCCTTTGCAAGGGTGTCCATCTAAAACTGCTGATTCTGTATCAGTGTCTTTAGAGGGCTTGCGGGGTCTCCTACAAGAAGAAAACCACCAAGAGCAACCAGACATCATCTGGGAAGAACATTTCACTGAGGCTTTGTCATCTATGTTCTGGCAGCTTGTGAGATGTCTATCAAAGATGTATGTCCTCCCGTTCTCCCTGTGGTAGGTGCCCTCTTTGCCTAACAGATGAAAACAGAGTCAGGGAGCTCTAATTCTCCATGCATGTAGAAAGTTGAGTCTTGTTCTTGCCACAGATATAGTGGTGACATTTTCATCTGTAGGTTAATCTGTGTTAATACAAGTTTTCTTGTAAATTGAACAAGTTTAACAAACACATAACTTCCTTAAAAGAAAAAAGCTGGCAACCATTGCCTTCTTCACAGGAACTGCATGGCTGAATAAAGAATTTGCCTCCTCATCTGCACGGTGCAGTGCTTTATTGAGAAACCTCCCTGCATCAGACATGGTCTCCAGCTCCTGCTTCCTGGCCACATAACAGCTCAGCTTCCACAGTGGCCATTGTGGTCCAGAGGCTCAGCCAGCAAACTTTGGCCTGGAGCAGCTCTGCCGGAGCCGTGCTGTGGTAAGCATGGCTAACTGCAGCCTCAGCACCTTGCATCACTTTACTGCAAGGCTTCCACTCACCCGACTGAGAGAGACAGCCACCGCAAAAGGAAAAGACGGACACTCTTCTAACCTGACTGCCAGGGTATGCAAGTCCCCACAGGAAAGCCTGTCGCCTTCATTCATGGGAATGCCATCCAGCTCCACCACCCCATGCTGAGGCTGTTTCTGCAGGAGGAGGAAGAGATGCTCCCGTTTTGTGTCCATGTCAGAGATGAGAATGTGCCCCTCTGTGACAGGGCTCAGGCCACCCTCTTCCACTCTCAAATGGCTCGTAAAAACCTGCATGGAGGAGAAATGCTGAACTCTTTTCTACTGCACCTCCAGACATACAATGAACAGGGCAATTTCAATTTGCTGTGGTATGAGGACATGTGACACCTTAAAAATCAAAATGTCAGAGGCTATACTCTTTTCTGCTATGTTAGGAAGTCCTAAGGAATTTACTAATAGTAGGCCCTAATACATGAAGCCCAGTCCTGATCCCATTCGTAGAGGCTTCTGCCCTTCATATGCAACAGGCAACACAAAGAGAAGGGATGCAGTTTTGCTAACCAAAATGTGACACACATATTTTTGTACAGCCACTCAGATGCTCAAGGTACACCTCAGCTTGTTTAGCACAAAGAATCTCCTTGCACATTCACCAGGCTTTTTCTTCCACTTCAGTCCCATGCAGGCTATGTGCAAGACACTGAAACCCTGATCCCATGGAAGATTTATTTTTCATTTCAGTCAGATCAGGACACCTCTCTGCATTTCTGTTTCTACCCAAAGCCATATCCAAGTTCTTCCCTCTCACCTTCACCACCAGCCTACCTCTGGGGCTTGATTGTCCACAGGAAGAATTGTAATATTGAAGCAGATCCCATACAAAGTGCCACCATGCTGATTACTGATGGAAAAAATAAACTGGACTTGCTGAGGTTCAGGCCCAACATCCTGCAGCGGTGGCATGTAGGCCACTTTCATATAGTTCACAGCATGCTGCAAAAAGAGAAAAGGGGTGCGTGTAAGAAGAGATAATGGGAGTAGCCATAATTCAGGACATTGGGGACCCTTCTCATCCCCGGATTAGATGTTATGTGAACTGTCAAAATTAATTCCAGAAACTTTGCGCATACTCTATTGCTACTGGCAATACCTTGAGTAAATGCATCTTTAGCTATAAATAAGGCAAGTACAGGTTCAAATACTCAAAAAAACCTGTAACAAAAAATACAGACACTGTTTATAAGTGATAACAGTGGCCTTAACTTCTTGATGAAGCCCTTTAAGAATGCTGGTCCCAGGACCTTTTCTGACTGTGACTTTAAAATAAACAATTCATCAAAGCGTAGATTTTATTGTAACATCTCCCATAGCAGCTGAATTTTCCCTCACCAGTATGAATAAACTGCACACCTTGCCTCCTCAGGTGAGGGCAGGCCAGTGAAAGAGGATAAAATAATCACCAAAATTTCATCCAGACACTCATATTAGGCACATGATTATGGATCTGTAGGCTCAGAGCTCTCATTATGGTACTTCATTGATTACCATTATGCAACTTTGACCATACAGCAGGATATAAAACAGGACACTTTACTAATATTCATAAGGCATCTATCAAACTACAGAAGCATGAAAACTGAACAATAAAATCCTGAAAAAGGCCTGTTCCAGCCTCTACCATATCTATCAGTGGGGACACTGAGAAGCAGGAAACTGTCAAGGCTTCATTTCCACATTTTTTGTATTATTTCCTTCCTCTTAACATCATGCTGGAGCCAAATTCAGCCTACCCTAAGCAAACTGCAGCCCCTGCTGGTTTCAGGAGAGTTGTGTTTACATACTGCAGAACTGAAGCATGATGGAAATTTGTTTTAAAAGCTGGAATTGAATTAGCAAAGTTCTGAGCTTCTTAAGCAGAGCTCATGACAGTATGACAGTACTGCTCCTCATTTTTCACCTCTTGTTTTCCTGTCAAAAAGAAGCTGTACACTTGTAACTTTTTTAAATTGTTGAGAACTGGTTGTGGTATCAGGTAACATAACAAACCTGAGTAAATGACCTCAGTGCAAGAGCAGCAGGATCCTTGACCAGCTTGGGGATGGTGTCCACCATAAACAGCTTCCCAGCGTCTGTGTGGCTGTACAAAAATAAGTATGTCACATTCTAGTTAGCAATACTGAAGAACAGGAAAAACAACAGTCACATAGCTTGGTCTTGCATTTCAAATTAACTTCCCACTCCCAACTGCGTTGAAAAGAAAAACATTCTTCTTTCTTCTATCCTTGTTATTCATTTAAATATTATCACAGAAAACTGACCACAAGAAATATTTTTCAGGATGGTCATGAAAAATCACTGCATACCTTATAAGCAAGTTCTGGATTTGCTACAGGTATGTCTCTGTACACCCCAGGTACCATTTATACCACCTGCAAGTCTAGTCCATCACATTCTTATTACTTACACACCTACATTTATATTTACATAGAAAAAAATATTATTTCTGGGTCTTGTTCATCTTATAAAATTCTGAAACAAAACAGTTTAACCATGTGGCTATTTCACTGAATAGGGGAACCGACTAAACGTCCTTCTCCTCTAGCTGAGTACTAATCTTCTGTTGCTTGAGGTCAAAATTTAAAGTGTTGATCTTCAGCTTAAACCATACAATGGCTGGATTTTAAACTTTTCTATTTAGCAAATTGTTGCAGATGCTGTCATGAATTTACTAAATGGTGAAACAGCATCAGTGACATGTAAACTGCTACTACACCCATACGTGCCATATCCCTATAGCCTCCCTAACCTGTTCTGCCTGTATTCTCTTCCAGGACCAGGAGTCCTTCACAGTGCCATACTAGTAATACATATCCTAGAAAGAGTTGTAGCAACTCATCTTCTCAGTCTGGGACAGGCCTAGATCAGCCCCACTCTATCAGGAGAGGTGTTATGACTTATGCTCAAGGCTGTACAGGATCCTACAGGCCAGTGTAAGATGTAAGTCCAAAAAAAGGAAAGAAAAGAGTTCAGGTGCTTTCCTCCCTCTTATTTCTTGCTAAACAATGCCATTTTTCTTATTCTTCTTACTCTGTGTATTATTCCATTGCTTTCAGCTCTAGCTCACCCGTAATCATCAATAGGAGAGCTGTACCCAGCTATTGTTACCTGCACTTTAAGCAGAGAAAGAACGTGAGACAAAAGCATGCTACTGTCACTAAGGCTAATTCATGGGTCATTGCCCTGTCCCACCTGAAAGGTATGGCAGGTCACACCTACCCGTGCGTGCAAGAGAAAAATGGGGAGGTGGTTATGGTATATGTGAGTTCCCTGTCTTGCTCTTCCACATCTATGAAGTGGAGATGTTTCTTAGTTATGTAAGCAATCTCAGTCTCCTTAACAACTAGGTGGCGGGTCACTCCAGGGGCTTCTCTGGGTAGCTGATCATCCACAGGAATAATGTGCACCATCATCACCTGAAATCAGGAAGACAGTAAAATCAGCAGCCATTCCTCTCAATAACAGAGTGTCCAAGCAGCTGTTTACAAACACGCACACACAGAAATAAGTAGATCACTGGAATGTGAGATATAGACTGTGGGTGTCATGCCATATCATGAACACTTGTGTAACAGAAATATACAAGAGTTAAATGCAAAGCCTATGAATCTTAACTATTTCCCTTTAAATTAAAAGCAAAGTTAAATTCAGTATGTTGGATTCCTGAGTAAAATAAATAGTCTCTTCACAGTTGACTTCAGGAAGGCTGTTTAGTTTGTTGGTACCGCATACAGAATCTAAGTTGTTTTCAACATTTCATTTTACAGTGTAGGAAAAAGTCTTTGCAGTGGACTTGTCTCTCTGTGGCCAGGCAGAGAGAATTTCCCCATGGAAAGCAAGAACAAGCTAGCTCTGAAGAACATTATTCGTGGTGATGACCATGGTGATGACCGTTGTGATGGCAAACAGAAAAGATCTATAGCAGTTTGATTTGAAAGCCTGTCAGAAGGTGTAAAACCATCAGCCATTTGAAGGAAAAATTAAGGACTCTGCCAAAGATGCTTCAGTTTCATACCTGTGGCTCTGAGAGATTGGGAGGGTCATGGCTATCACACAGCACAAACTCAAGGGAATCTTCAAATACTTCTCCTCCCAAATGACGATAATAAATTATTCCATTAAATAGATCTCTCTGAAGAAAACTGCTGACAGAATACCCTGTTGAAGAATACATCTTCTATTGAACACTGCATGATATTAATAATTCATAAAAATTATACATTAGCTGTGCAAGTAACTGGTGAAGCATAATGTCCTCCTTCTCACCATAACTAGGGCAAGCCCTTTAAAATGTTATCTCATTGTCTTCCACATTTCCTGAAGATCATCAACTTCTTTTCTATGTCACTTAAAGATCATTCAAAAAATGAATCAGCAGAGCAAACGGGCCTAAAGCCCTGTTTAGAGGACAAAAGAGAATTTGTAGCACTAAGCAGCCTCTGCAGTCTAGCACAGGAATTTCTGAATTCAGTTAAATGGAAGGTGAGTTTTCTTCCTCTTTTAGCTTCATTAGCAACATCTAATAACTTTGAACTTGTCAGGGATCCTTGCAAATAAAATAACTCCTGACTAGCCCAACTTTTCTGGAGGAGAAAAGTGTAATAGGGAAATAGACTCAGAATGCAAAAAATTATCAGATATATTATGTTCACAGATATAGTTATCCTTGTGCAGAGACCAATATTAATTAATGGTGGGGGTTTACACTATGATGAAAGAAGTCCAAATTTACCACGATTTGTCCTCAGCCAAAATAATTTATCTAATTGCAACATTTAATATAGTTTGAAAAGGGAGGGACAAAGAAAAGTGTGCTATTATGGATGTGTTTCATTACCTATCAAATTTGATCCTGGTTTCTTCATGATTTCTCCAGCCTGTGGTGGCTTGGTAATGTTGAATAGTATGTAATCATCACTGGAATCTATGTCAGAAGCATGAAGCATGGAGCCCTGAATCAGGATTGTCTGTCCTTCATGAACTTCAATGACCATATTGCTGATAAGAAATGGAGGGCTGTCATCTTTAGGGAGGACATTGATTGGAAACTTATGGCGAATACTGTGGGTGCCGTCGAAAATCCTAAATACCACAAAGTCCTTAGTGGAATCACTGTCATCATGATGGTAGTAAACAACTCCAGCCTGAATGTCAGAGATTGTGAACATGAATCCTTTCCCACCTGTCAAAAACAGTCAAACAAAACACATCAAAAATGTGCAGTTCAGACCAGAGGAGAATCCTCCCACCAGTATGTATGTTATTAAGGGAGAAGGAAGGAGAACACATGTCTAACTAGAAAAATCAAATGTAACTTGACCTACTGTAAACAGGTTTGTACAAGTGGGACTAGTGAGTAACAGTGCAGAATTTGCAACTGTGATAGCAGCGAAAATCGTCCAAATATCCATTGCACTGAAGGTAACTGGAGATATTAAAGATTTTTAATTGCGACTGTTTCCACCTTCATTTCAACCTCTACTTTCTTATCAGAACATTTTACATGTATTTTAAGCATCAAAGAGAATATGCTTTATAATTACAGATCAGCATTTCAAGTAAAAATTAACATTTGTGGGTCTTGGTTTTTCAGCATATTCAGGTTACTGTCTATAATAAGACAGTTTTACACCTCTGCCTCACTAGACACATTATGCACACATACTAATATTCCAACAAGTTAAAGGTTTTGAGAACTGCAAGCTGGTGCTGGAAGACATGATCTCCCTAGGGCCTGCAAGGAAATTTTTTTGCTCTCCCTGTTGTATAACATCAGCAGAGACATCCACCCACTCCCTTTGCTCCTTACTTGGAGAGAATCATGGGCAAACTTTAAGTTGGAGAAATAACTGCCTCACCACCAAACAAAAACCTGTTAAAGGTGACAGGAGGCAGGGTACATCATACATACCACTTTCTTTCACGGCTTTCCTTTAGCTCTAGGACTGCCACTACCAAACCAAACCAAAGAGCATTCAAAACATTGGGTGGATTCCCCATTCCCCGCAGTTAATAGGAGACTTTCCACTGATTCAGTGGGCGGTGGCTCAGACCGTTTGCCAGAAGCATTAGAGTTATGGTGCAGATAGAGGGCTAAACCCAAGCTTTCCTTTAAAATTTGAACATCAGTTGGTGCTTGCTAGACAGAAAAGGGCAATTACCAAAAATGGCGGTGATGGTTTCCTTTGCATGTGCCTATGCAGACACATAAAAGTGAATAAGGCGCAGTCACTGGAGAATAAATATCCACCCCTGGCTGGCCCACGGGAGGCTGAGAAACCCCGGGTGGCAGCCTGCGTGCACAGATGGGACTGCCACCACGAGATGGGCCCTGGGCTCTGCATGCTCCTGCAGGCACTGCTGGTCTGCTGCTCCACTCCCCGGCTGGCTGTGCACCCCCTGCCCCCTGTAACACCATCTCCAGGGCTGAGGCTACCTAATGTTGCTGACACCACAGAGTTTCTGTCTGTAGCACTACAGGAGGATGATCGTGCAGACACTGAACTCCTTATCAATAGTTTCAAGAGGTGAAATGTATTTCTGAATAGTTTTTTACACTAAATTCCAAATACCACCTTCCCCTTTTCATACTTGCTTTATGTTTCTAGGCTATACATTTTACACTAATGCATTTAACTATCAAAAAATCCAGCATTTATAGTGGCAGTGTCTTTCCACCCTGCCAACGGCAGACTGGCAGTTTTTGCCTAACCATTTTCCCAGAGGGCAGTGCTGTGCTAACGCCTGATATTGCAAAGCAAAATTAGTGATATTGACAATGCAGAAGGCTAGCAAAAGTCTAATTTAATTGCCACTTTTTGAAATCAACCATACAGCTGACAGTAAATAACAACTGTATCCAAATGTCTGCATTTGCCAACAAATCAAAATCACTTGGAATTCCTTAGCACCTTCAAGCAGAAATGTAAGAAGGGAAAATGTAGTGACTGTATTTTGACTCAGTTGTGCCTGCTCTATGAAAGCATAGCCGATTTGTTTAAAATTTCAGCTTTGGGATGTAAACGTGCGTTAAGAAAGCCACAGTTTTAAGTACTGAATTTTTCAACGCTCTTGTTTTAACCCCGGCGTCTAGCGTGGTTGTAGCTGAGAAAGCCGGTCAGCAGAGGGAGCAGAGCCGGCGGGCGAGGTTGCGGGCCGATGCAGAGCCGGGGCGGGAGGCCCCGGAGGGCCCGGCCGGGGCAGAGGCCGGCAGGCTGCGGCTCCTGCGTCCTCGGGGCGGGCCTTGTTAGTGGCTCTGGAGGGGAAACCTGCAGAAGATTTCTCTGCGTGCCTCGGGTTTTCTTGTTTGCTGTGAGCGACACAGAGCAATATACGGCTACGCTAGCCTTTCTCTTGTTTTTGCAGTGGCATCGCAGCGCTGTCTCTCGGGCAGTTACCCATCCTCTTTTGGCCTTGGTGAGGCCAGGCAGCATTGGGCCTGCTGCACGCCACTACAGGCTGCGTTAGCTCACTTGGGCTGAATTCACCACCAGTGAAGAGCCTGAGACCCAATTTAATTTTCAGATGGAATTGGTGTATAGTCAAAATGCCAGACTTAGCAGTATCTCCCATTTAGGGAGGTAGACAACATAAATACACTGTTTGCAACAGTGTCTAAGCTATTCAACTGACTTTCTTTATGACCTTGTGAGTTTTTAAATTTCTTACTCTCCACCCAGATACTTCCTTCCAAACCTTCATTCCCTTGTAAAGGTGTCTCATCCTGGCAGCCTTCAGCTGAGTCAGGTACAACAGATTATCAATGTCTTACTGTCACGTTATTGTAGCCAGTTGTCACTGGACAACATGCTTCCAGGCCCTCAAGTTGAAATGATTTACCTCTCACTGTTAGCCGTCCATGCTCTAACCCATCAACTGTGACCACACGAACATTTTGGATGTCATCATTGTCTACGATTTGGAAGTGTTGCCATGTGATCGGTCGGGATTGCCCTTCCAGAAGGTTGAGGCCTGCAAAGAGCAGAGCGTTATTTCACTGCAGCATCTGCAACAATCAAGGCTTTCCGCTTCTAACCTTTCTGAAGGTTTTTGCAGTCAGGAAGAAAAGAATGTTTAATTCCAGCCACATACAGACATTTCAAGGCCAGCTTAAAAGTTTGATATCAGCTTTTATTCTGATATACTTGACTTAGTCAACTGTCTTTAAGGAATTTTTTTTCAGAGAAGTAACATACTCTGGTTCCCAGCGATCTGATACACTAGCTGGGCACATTTCTGGACATTTGCACAAACCTGAGCGTTGCAATTGCAATCTCACAATGGCTGAAACTGGACACAGCTTCCTTAGTGAGTCTGCATTTAAGAACATATACTGATCTTCATGACAGAGGACAGTATCCCTCCTTTTTACTCAGAGAGTCATTTCAGGTGAGGCTTCTCTGGGAGACGTGAGGCCTCTCCTGGTCTGCTCCTTCCCTTTTCTACTGTGAGGAGACTGCTCTTTGGTATTAACTTTGCCTTTTGATGATTAAATATAAAAGTATATTTTTCACTCAGGATGGGAGAGCCTGTACCCTCTCCAGTGCAGGCATTATAAATCTGTTTGAATTAGCCTTAACCCTGTAAGGTTTCCAGGCTTCAGATGGCTGGTGGTGTATCATGCCCTCTTTTTCTAGTTGGTCATTTTTGCAGACTTCCACTTTAAACAATACCAACAAACTTTGGTCTTTCCCACACACTACCCTACTACTCCTATGCAATCACATATTTGTTTTTACTATTTTTATATAGTCTATAGTCTTCTATGACTAGTTTGTTCTTGAAGAAAAAGTTACATACAGAAATCATTATTTTCCTGTAACTCCCTTTTTTTCTTTATTTTTCATTCCAGTTGTAACATGTTCCCCCCAAAATGGATAAAAGGGCAAAATAGATTTATACTCCTTCAGTTTAATGATCCTAAAACTCTAAGTGTAAATCTGAATTTTAAAGCTTTGTCAAGTGTCTGTGTCAAAGTGTTACAAATTCTGCAGCAAAGTAAACAGAGGAAAAGATATTTCACCTGTATTCCATGAAACCCGAGGAGCATTTGTATCTGTTGTTCTGATAGAAAGATGCACAGTGATCGGTAAACTCCTTTCAAAGTAGAAGTCATGAACCTCAAACTCTACCTATTGTGAAAACAGACAAACTATTTATTGAAAAAAGCCTGAAAACCAGTTGTACCTCAAAACACATAGTATGTTCTTACCTGAGAGGTCTTGAAGTCTTCTGATAACACATTGACAGATTAAACTTGATTTAGCTTCTAAAAAGAGCCTTTGAGGATCTGCACTAAATTAAGGATCTGCCTTCTGTGCACCTCACAGTGAATGCTGGGAAAGTTAATTTGTAATGTGTGGAAATTAATGGAAAAGATAAGCATTTTCACTGTTGTTTGGGGTATGATTAACATAGGGCTTTTTTGATAGTAATAGTAAGAGTGGAAAGGAGCTCTTTTAACATATATAGGACCAAAAATTTTATTAAAGAAAATATATGGACTGGCACAGGAAATAAAAAGAAAAAAAAAAAAAAAAAGGAAAGAAAATCAAACTCTTGAATTGTGCAACCCTTTAATTCTCAAATTAAACAATGCTGAAATCAGAACAGAGAAGAGGCATTTAAGGAGCAGGCAGATTGGTAGGATTACTGATCTGCATACTAAGGAAAGGAGGTTCCTGTGGCAGCCAAGGTTAAAAATAGACAAACCTTGCCAGCATCAAGTGCCAAGTTACTCTTCCTGTTCCTCTGCTTTCCAGTTCACCCTCTCCCCAGTTTACCTTGCTCTGATTTTCTGTCTCTTCAGTGACATTACTTTAGTACAAACCATTTTATTTTGTTTGGGTTATTGCTTAACTGTCATATCAGATAGTTATTTTATAACTATCAGCATATTTATATATTCCTTTAACTCATTTATCTTACATCTCATTTTTAAGACTATTGCTTATTTCTCAGGGTGTTGGCACACTGCTGAATTACCCAAAATATCTAGCCGTACTAGTTACTGAAAAAATAGAGTAACACTTACTCTAGACCCTGCAGACACCAGCCTGCTCTCATTGTTTGCATCATGTTGTCTGTGTTAGTGACGTGCTTTTACTCCTCCCAGCAGGAACTGTTGGGAGTCACCCTTTGTCACTCCTATACCACCACTGCCATACTGGATAGGGTGCAAGATCAAATGGCAATCCTGACGTTTAGCTGATCTGCCTTTCATGGCTTTACATGTCACCTCTCCACAGGTCACAGGGATCGGTACTGTCACATGGAGATAAAAGCTATGTGGAAAAGGCACCATTGATCCTTCCAAAGGCTCTTGGTTAGATCTACAATTAGTGTTATTTCCCTATTCCCTTAATAAAAAAAATAATAAATTTTTTAAAATATATAAAAAGAACCAAAAAATCCTGTTTAGATATTCTCAGTCAGAAGGGATAAACATCTTTCAGTGCAAATAAAGTCTTAAGTAATGAGCAATGAATATCTGATTTATGTTAGACAATTAAACTGGTGAGTCATAGGAGAAAGCAGTAAAAGATTTTACCTCTGCTCCTGCATTGCATATAGCTAGATAAACTTTTTTTTTTCCCTGAGAAATACCCATTACAGATGAATGCATTTATTTACATCTTACTGAATCTTAAGAAAATGAAAACCAGCAAATATTCATATATTACACTCTTACCTCAAAATTCCTCCTCTCTGTGTGGCTGTTATTTGGAGGTTGGTATGCAATGAGCATGTCACTGAGATCTTTCCATGTGAAGGAGCCAACAGCTTTTGTATGGTCAGATAGATGAGTGATGAAGCCCTGTGGAGGTGGCTTGGTAATGTTGAATACAAGTAGGGACTTTGGAGTTTCGTTGTCTTCAGCATCAATTGTTGTGGTTGTAATGGGTGTTAAAATAAATTGATCTACTTCCAGGATTAACTTTGCCATTGAGGCAGCTCTGGGTATTTTGTTGGCAATAGCACCTTTAATCTGAACAGGGAGCCATGCATACTCAGTCTACAACAGGAAAAAATGAGACAACTGAAAGGACAAAGTGAAGCAAACAAACAATTTCCATTACATTCACACAGCTAACTGGGGTACATGTTAAAGCAATAACTATTTAAAAAAAAAAAAAAAAAAAAAAAAAAAGCAACATTTTCATGAGAAAATGCCTAAAGTAAATATTTAAACCTCATGAAAAGGTCTTCCAGGTTCACTAGTCTTATTTGTGTCCTTAATTTGGGGCTAAAACAACTTGCTTAATTTGATGTGGGGTTAACTAATAACTTTATCTGATGGAGACATGCGTGAGCCATGAATTATTATTAACTAAATATGTTCACACCAGCTCTTAACTTATTAATTACTATATATGTTGAAGTCAGTACAGCTCATGCTCTATAAAAAATTACACCAGAATTAGTTTTGTTCTCAGGCTAAACTATTTACATCTGCCTTTAAACAACCAGAGGTATTTCTCTGTAGCCATAATGGTCTAAGTATAGAGGCATGGAATGAATTTCATTTGCCCAGCTGGCAATGTTGTAAGAACTGAACAAATTTTCAGGATCACTATCTCTCTTCAAATGTGAAAAGGAGCAACAAATTTAAATTTTTTGAAAACCAGGAAGACAGTCAGCATGTAATCTTGTGTAAAAGTCTACCTTGTGCAGAGTTTTGCTTCTGCTGTCTGTGAGATCCAACCTCACAGGAATATAATCGGTGTCAGGCGAGGGAGGGTCAAGGTGCTGATATCGAATCCCCATCCTCAGAAATTCTTTGCAGCTCATTTTTATGTCATGGACGGCTCCCAGTCCTGGCATGCAGCTCCCATTTCTGCACTGCTGGCCCAGGCTGGGCTCTGTAACCCAAGAGAAGCAATAGTGAAACAGTTACCAGAGCAGAAACAGACATGTGAAGCCTGTCTGTATAACTAAACTAACCCTCATAAAAAGCCAGTGTGATGAGAATTAGGACTCGTTTCCTGGCTTGAATTTTCCTACAGGATTTCTTTTTCATCTGACATCTTCCAGCTGCAACCTCTCTTGGTGTCTTGGGTAGGTGCTGCCTCCAATAACTCCCTGTGCTGTTTCTAATAAGTCTTGGCACTCCCAAAGCCATCACATTGATCCACATGTCTAGGAGCCAAAACCAGACTCCAATTAGGAGATTACTTACCCAGATCTGTGTGCCCCACATAAACTTCATGTCCCTTTCGGTTTCCATGATAGCTGTTCATTAAACCTCACATGACCCGCTCATACCCAGCACATGTGAAGCAACCCACTGCTGCAAACTTAACCTGCTGGGTCTCTTTGAACCTGCTAATACAAACCACTAAAGCACATCGTACTAGGGTCAGGGAAGAAGCTCTGTGGCTGATCTCCACGAAGCTGCTTTTTCTGCACCTCCCCAATGATGAGCTGGCCATGAGCAGGCAGGTGGGTTTCCGAAGACGCTATGGAAATGGTGCAATCCAGATTTATCTTCCTGTCATAGTCAAAAGTGAGGATGTTCTTGTCAATCACCTTGGAGAGACCATAGTACTCAGGGACCTCCAGGGCATTTGAGCGCATTTTGATGATGTTACAGTCTGGCTCAAGTAACTGCACATGGAGGGTGAATGTTTCTACAAATGTTTCAGTTTCTGTAAACCTGGAGGGGGTAGAAGGAAATTAGTTATGCATCATGCCATCTTCTGTCAGTCTGTGAGTTTGTCATTGGCCTCACCTTCTAAATTGAATTACTTGAACCCCTTTCTCTCATGTGCCCTCAAACCCCAGATCACCAGAGACCATGAGGTGCACGACACTGCTGCCCACCTCCTCATGCTTGTAAAAAGGGTGTTTGTGCGAAGGAAGAAGTTACTCTCTGTGTATACACAAGGGTCTGTGTCCCTGTCAGCAAGATAGCATAGGACATACAATGCTCTGAAAGTACTGTTGTTACTTTCAATAATAGAAAGCAAAATCACTGGTTTTCTGTAATAAACAAGGAATACATAATATTTATTAATACTAACAAACACATTTTTTGAGCGTATCTGAAATACGTCGTGCCAAGTGTTTCTGTAAACAGATGGTCACTTGTTGACTAATGATGCTGCTACTCCACCTAAGTAGTTACGATACATTACAGCAGAAGATGCTTTTACTGTCAAAAATGGACTGCTTTCTCTTCCTGAGGGCAGCCTGTGATCCTGTTAATGAAATGTGATCTCCCACCGCTGCTTACCTGTAGAGCCTAAGCATGACTGTGTCATCATCTAAAATCGGACAGCCATTGTGGGTATATTTGACTTCATTAGGAAGGAAGTGACAGTCAAAAACCTATGAAGGAGAAAGAATAGACAAGTATAACACTGTCAAGGATGTTAACTTCACAGTGTTACAATTCTCTCTGACTGTCAGGAATGCATCAGACTAAAGGAATTTTTAATCTGTAGTTTATTTCTGTGAATAGGTATTCACCTGTTCTGTGGTCTCCCAGTGAGAGCCAGAGCAACCACTTTAATGTGGGGCTGCTGACACTCTAAAAAAGGAACAGGCTTATAAATTTGATTGTTTCAGGCTGTCAAGTGCCTCCTCCAGCACAACAAACAGTTTGAGGGCACGCTTCTCTACCACCGCAGCCTGTGGATTTATGGATGCAGTTGTGTTTGGTAGGAAAACTGCAGTGGATCTGAAAAACCAGCAGTTCCTGCAGTATAATGTTATATTTATTAGCTTTTAAAGTTGCTTGTGGCAATAGCTTAATTATACAGCAATTCTTGCTTTATGGCCACTACCATTGGACTATGAAAGTATGATCCTGTGAAACTTCTCCATTGGAAACTTTGTTAGCTCGGATTTGTTATGTTTTTGGAAGCTGACTTTGTACCAGTGGTCTTTTACCAGATTAGATGTCATATCTATGCCATACCAACACCCAGCCCCAATGTCAGTGTGATCCCACAGCATAAAAACAAGCAGAATTTCTATAGTGTGTCCACCAGCTAATTCAAAAGAGAATAATTCGTATGACATACCTGATACAGATCAAATTTGCAAAGATGGCTAGCCACAGTTTAACCATCTGTTTCAGGTTGATTGTCTTATTTCATGGTTTGTTACTTGTGAAAGCAAATCAATGAGGAAAAATGCCTGACCCAAATGGAAAAAAGATTGCTTTGGAGAGTTCCAACACAGCCATTCTTTGGAGCAGGGATTTGGATTCTGGGGCATAGGATTTTCATGTCCTCACATACACCAATTGCAAGTCTGGCAAATTACAGTTCCCATGTAGCTATATATCTTTATAGACTTTAACAGCTGAAAGCTCCTAGCATTGGTAAGACCATGTCTATGTTATCCTTGTGATAACAGGGAACCCCTACACAGGCCATGCATAGATGGAGGATATTCATGTTTCATATCTGCAGAGAGGGTATATTCTTGTCAACAAGAAGGCAAAACCTAATAACTGCATTTCCTGAATGTCTCACTGTGAAAATAACTGTGGTTTTGATCCAGTTTTTATGGGCAGTATTCACACATGATTAGTTCTTCTATGGACTAAAATAAAACCTGTTTACCATTCATTAACAGACCTGATGAAGCTGTAACTAATAAGGATTAAAATACATATGTGGCTGACTGAAAAAACACATCTTTTTTCAGCAAGGTCATTTCTTACTACCCTTCATTTCTTAACATACGCCAAAAGAATCAAAAATTAAGTGGCTTGCCTGCATTACCTACACCTCCCCAGCCATTTTGGAGGATGGTGATATGGAAGGGGGATTTTTGTGAGGTTCTGAAATGTTGACTGGAATGTTCTAGTGCAGTGCCTAGAGAAAGTCTTTGGATGGCCTGACTTTCAGTGTACCAATAAAGTAATACTTTAATTTCTAAATTAGTTATTAATGCATAGCTAATTGAAGGTCATCATGACCATTTTGTGGATTTACGCAGAAGGATTTAAGAACTAGTGACCTTTGTTTCTTTCTAGCCATTGCACAGAATTAGAACTTGCATCTTTCTATAATGGAAAAATAATTAAGAGATTATCAGTTTTCATTATTACTGGCAGTGTCCACTCCCACTGAAGTTATTCTCAGATGCTCAAGTTATGTGGTAATTGTTCAGTATTCCTAATGATTTTAAAATGTACTGTCTGCTTTTAACTTTCATCAAGAAACACATTGTACAAAGTCTTTCTTTTTAAGTATCAAGTTAGCTGATTATCAGATACACATACATAGATTTACCACACTTCTTGTTGGCTAAAATAATCTTGGAATAATCTGTAATACATGATATTATGGAAAGTATGATTGATTTTATTTGCTGGGACTGCTTAGAAAGGAGCAACAACGTGAAAAACAAAATTGCTCTCATATGATGAAGGTTTTGACTGTGTTGGGGCTTTCTGTTGTGTACTGTTTTCAAATGTCACAGAAATAGATGTTTCATTATTTTTCAGCATTTAACAAGCAACAGATATGCTTTTTCTGACTTAGTGTCTTTTCTTTCTTAGTACAAGATAACATAAAGGAAGGTGATTAATTAAATAGTCCTAAGTGATATCCTACAAAAAAAGAAAAAAAATTAAGAGAAGTAGTTAAGTGGTGTGTTACCTTAAAGAATAAAAAGAATATATAAAAAAGCTGCCTATATTACAGTTTCCAGTAGTTTAATGTTGAACACTGAAGATGAGATTCTTCACTGATGTAAATCAGTGTAGAGCCTTCAAAGTCAGTAGGGGTTTTGGTAACATGTAGGTCTGGTGTACACCTGTCGCTGAGATACTGCTCAAATGATGCATCCCTGTTCATATCAGAGGGGACCACTTACAGCAGAGGATATAGTTTACCATATCAAATAATTAATTTATTTCTTTCTAAGACATTGTCAGTTCCATCTCTTAATTGATAACAAGGGGATGGAAAATGAAGGACCTTTCCACAAAGGTCTGTTACCACTGGCTGACAGTCATTTTATATATGTATAAGACAGAATCTGCCTTGCAAAAAGAAACATCTGTTTTATGTTTCCTAATATGTTTTCATTTGATACGAACAGGCAACTCTAATTGTCTGTAAATTCACAGGGTAAGACAAAGGAGATCTAAATCTTTCCTAATTACTGTTGAGCTTTTTTTTTTTTCCCCTACTTCAAATGCTTTTCAATTACAATTTATAATTAAATTGTCATCCATTCCTAGGACATTACTCACTTTAATGGCAGTAAAATGGATCAGGCCAGAGACATTTTCTGTCTGCAGAATTTCGTGGTGGAAGGAGCATGAGTGGCACCAGGAGGGTTGGACTCTGACACCTTTTTTTTCAGGAATGGTGAAATCTCAGGCAGTACTTTTCAGTGTCTAGGTCAGGATTTTGTCATTTAAAACAGAAACCCTCAACTTACAAATGCAGTCTTGTTCTTTCCCAGCAAGGAAATATGACTTGAGATAACCAGACTGCCTATCTTGCTGGCAGACTCCCTGGGGGACCCCCATGGTGGTGTGTCTCTAGCACTCCCACCTCCCCACAGCTGCAGAGACGGGAATGCACATTTCCTAATGGGATTGCGCTCAGGCCAGGGGCCATCCAGAGGAGGTATCCTGGGCACCGCCAGCAGCCACAGCCCCTCTCCAGCCTGCTACCCCAGGACCACCGGCCTAGCAGGGCTCACCCCTCCAGATGAGGTGATCCTGCAGCCTCCAATAGCCACGCTCAGCTGCCTGGGCTCACGCTGGGGCTATGAAAGGGCGGGCACTGAATGGAGGTGGGGTTCGGAGTGGGGAAAGGCAAGGACCATAGGTATTTTGGAAAATAAGGTATGGCGAGTACAAATCTCCTGGGATCTCTGGAAAACTGCCTCTGACCCTGTGCTTGAAGCATGTCAGGTTATAAAGGACAAAGCGGCCTTTTCAAAATACCTGGGCCCTACTGCACATAGAGGCTGAGGCAGAAATTGAAAGCAAAGTCACTCAGCCAGCCAGCCAGCTTGCCTACAGAGGAGGTTTGCCAGCAAATGGACATGTAATTCTCTCTTTTTTTCTCTTCATGGGCCAAACTGGACTGGGGAAGTGGAGAAGAGGGGGCTATGGCCAGAGCCCCTGTACTAACAGAGAGCAAGCCCTGGGGAAGTCTCAGCACAGGCGCTGCACATCTTGGGGCCAGTCTCTAGAGAAGATCACACACTGCCCTGCCCATCGCCTCATGCTTTCCCTGGTGTGACTCTGCTCCTTCTGAGTGCTGGTTTAGCTGAAGTACTTGTCAGTGGTCTGCAAAAATTATGACGGCAAAGCCAGAAGCTTTAAAAAACACATTGAGACTGGTGCTCCTGCATCTGCCTTCACAGAGACCACCAGAAACCTCAGAGAGGATCTTTAAAACAATATACATATGGAAAAATATAGAAGTGTGTGCTGTATGGTATAATAAACAAAACATTTTGAAAATATACAAGAACTGTTTGGTTCATTAAAACCATTAATCTTCTATCTATACTGTTACAACTTCATGTTAATTACTTCCAACTCTTTCCTGTTATGACTGAGGTGGGGAGATTTGTAAGGCAAGTGAGTAGCAGAATGGTGATACGTGAAATACATTTCATTATTCATACAAGCTTGAAATTTTAACAGAAAACATTTCTTTTTTAATGTGTTTGCCATCTGCTAGCAATTTAGCTCTTGCAGAGCAGAGAAAACAATAGTGTACATGATGTGCTTACTGTATGTGACGATTTTTTTCTTAATTGCTCCCTAAGTAGTGGCTGCCTGACTAAAATGCAAAACGCTCTAGTGGGCTATGCATTACTCAAGGGGCACTGGTTATCCTCATGGTAGGAAAACAAGCAGCTGAGAGATTGGAGGATATCTCCTAACCATGACTTCTGAAATAAGTCATAAGCACATTCTCTGCTTGTGAAAGGGGATTCTGACTGAACTCACTTTTATGCACTTGTGTTACTGACCTCGGCTTTTGGATTTCAGGGGTACAGTTCTCTGTCAGCTGGCTACTTTTAGCAAAAGGCCAAATCTCACAGACCATTCTGTTTCATTCCTTTTAGTCGTTACACACACACACACACACACACACACACACACACGCAAAATATCAGTAAAGCAACTCTTTCTAGTTTTTCCCACACCTGCACACATGTGGACACTCAGAGCAGCACAACAGAGCCCAAATACCTGTGGAGTTAGTTTCCCAACCCTCTGTGTTATTGGCTCATTAATCACAACTTCTACTTTACAGACATCCTTCTCTTTGGGGATGGAAAACTTGAGGTCATCTTCTGACAGGAAGACAGACTGTCCCTTCATCACTTTCACCCCAAGGTTGACACTAATAAAGGAGGAGCATACAACTCTTAGTACAACAGGCAGCAGTAGAAACAACCAGCTTTTCTCAAAGGGCTTCATATTATGAGGGGATGCCATCTCTTTTCCACCAGTGAAAGTGTTCTTAACAAAAGAAGTCTTCTCTTTATCCGCCAGCAGATTTTCACCAAATAATGAAGGACCAAAATGTTAGTCACAGGTAACAATGTATCACATGTTTTGTATTAAGATGCACCCCTTGACTGAAATTTGGACAGCAGCCTTTCAAAATATCCTTGAGTTTTTATAAAATTCATTGGTCAAGCCTGACAAAATGATGAATGTGTTCTCAGAGTACTTTTAGGGTTTGTTAATCCTGAAAAGAAAAAAAAAAAAAAGAAAGAAAATTTATATAAGGCATTGAGTAACTATTGGGGGAAAAAAATAACCACACAAAAAACTTACACCATTTCTGACAATTGCAGTTCATTTCAAGCAGTAGCTTAACTTCACCTTTGAATACTATTAAGTACACACACGCTCAGAAAATGAGCTATGTACCAATGAGACTTCAACAGATCAGCTCTCAATATGAATCCAAGGCACCTTTGATCCATATGTACATACAACACTTGCTGTGTAGGATCCTTTGTTACTGGCCTTTTTTACTACTCGACCAAGTAGATATTAGTAAAAGGGTATGAACATCCAAGTAATTTGAAAGTGCAGGAGTAGGCATTTGTCCAGATTAAATACACCTGAAAGCAGGATAGAGGGAGAGTGGCCTTTTGTTAAATCTGGTTTTGCTTTGCCATTGAAGGTGGGAGAAAAAATTCAAGCTTTAGTTGAAAACACCTTGCCAGTGCCTCTCTGCTCTTCCTGCTATAGCAAGTAACTATGCCAGGACGTCAACACAGAAACATATGATATCGCACAACAATGCTGAACTTTTTCTTCACAAAGAAGAGTAATCATTCTGAGGCAAATTCAGTGGAAATAAAGAACAAAAGAAAATATGGGGGAAAAAAATTACACAAGCTCCCCATGCCCCCAGTTACGGTTAATTTTCATCTTTCATGTTTATAAACTCATAGCATAGTTCTTCTGACATTGAAGCACTATTGAAATCCTTATAAGACCCTGATTTCTACAACCCTCCAAAGTAACTTAATATATGTCTGAAAGAATAGGCAATGGTATTGTTTTAATTAAATCATAAGAATTTCAAGCTAGTAAAGCATCAACATTCCTTCAGTTTCTTGCAAAGTTTTAGTGTCCTGACTACTCATTGCACAGTCTAATTTCACCACAAACTTACCAGCAATTGAGCTGTCCTGAAAGTGAGTTAAAAACCAGATGCATATATCTATTTTCCTTATTCCTGTCAACAGATAAATGTTCACTCTACTGTTTCCAGCAGGATGACCTTCTGGACAGCCTACAACTATATGCACATATCCACTGAGTTTTACATTTCACTGAAAAATGATGAGCCGTTAAGAATTTCTTTAAAATTATTCACTTACTAAAGCAACACAAGACAGATCCACTCACTTCAGCTCAGATTCAAGATTGAAGACATTGGGACTACCATATGTTTAAAGTTAGATGTATGTTGACCATGTAATCTGGGCTGCAAATCTTAACTCTGGTTTTCTAGCTTTTTATCTGAAAAACTTTCCATTTTGGTCTAAAATTATGCAGCCAGATCAGTCTGAACAAAATCTAAGACAAAATGTAGAATTCTAGCCAGAGGAAAGGGAATTAAATTCATGGTTGAAAGTTTTTTAACATGTTCCAGAAAGAAAACAAAATATCAATTCATTTTTAAAAAGTTTACTTACACTGGACTGCTTTTACTAAAATCCAGATATGTAAATGTGCCCAAAGTACTTGGTAATTTTTGTTTCTTTCTAGTGGGATGGGTACTCATAGCACTTCATTGTAATAAGTACATCTGAGACAGCACTCCACTTCCTAAAATTCACAGTTTTGAAATACAGTCTCTAATCCTAGAGAAGACAACTTGGAAAGAAGGAGAGGAAAACAGATTACACTTCAGCCTCCAAGCAAGAACATATAGTTTGCAGCAAATGCAATCTTTTAACCTCAATATCTGACTGGCATTTATCCCATAGTGCATGGATTGCTATCATTTATCAAATATAATCTGTGTTTTCTTAAAATACCAGCTGCTAAGCATGGAGAGATGTTCTGAGTGAAAACCTCTACTGCTGTGTCCTCTTCCTACTTCCTGCATCTAATAAAGTGAAGATAGTGCTGAAGGAAGTGAAATAATTTCCTTGGCATATGTCTCAATAAGATGCTCTGCCTAACATGTCCTCTGACCTCAGGCATGCCATGATCCTTAGCCAGCAGGAAGCTCCTGACACAGAGACTGCAATGGACTCTAAATCCTTTGACTCCAGCCCCTGATGAAAACGCATGTGTAAATCTCAGCTAGTTTCAGAGAAGATCCAGTTTCTTAAACCATAGAGAGACTCAGATAAGAAAATAATGAGGAATTTTAGACTCTGACTAGGACCTGGCAAAGTGCTAAGAGGCAGTCGATGACTCTGAAGCACAGACCCGGTGGTTTATAGGTCATGACAATGCCAGTAACTTCATTCTCCACAATACCAGGCAATTTGATTTACAGTGCAAACTGCATTTATTCACAGGGCAGTAGGTACCTTATGAGCAATGACAAAATTAAAGCTTGGACAGTTTTGAATTTCTCCACTCCTACCCGGATAACTACCACAAAACCATGTTATAGTTCAGACACAGCCTAATCACCAGTTCAGAAATGTCACTGGTTGAGAAGAGTATAGTTCTCTTTACACCTTACATATGTGCTTACAAGAAGGGAAAGACAGCTGTCTCTCTCCCACAGGCACTGCCAGAGTCATTCATGCAGAGACATCTGCACCTCAACTCTTATGAAGCCCAGGTCAACCTGCTTCTGGTGCCTGCCCCATAAGCCCCAGCACTGGGTGCAGGTATAAGCCACAGGAACGGGTGGTGGTTTCTTTGCTGCCTTTTCTTATCCTTTATGAAACACTAGGAGCAGAAAGGCTCCAAGAGGAGCCCAGAGCATTCTGGCCAATTTTGTAGTGTTTGTGTGAGCCATTCTCTACTACAAAATTGTTCCCATGTTGTATTATGGTCTTGCATTGACTGTTTTTTCTTGCAGGCACTACTCCTATATCACTATACACGTTTGCCCCATATGTTCCAGCAACTAGCCCCTACTTGTCAGCTGCAGGGCTGTCTCCTTATATGGCTAAGTGAAAATCTTGATAAGTATAATCTCACTTTTTCAATCACCTATCCAATAACAGCAAAATGAAATTACAATGAAAGAACACAGTGACAACACAACAAGAAGGTTTTGGAGTGGATGCCAGATTAGAATTCTCCCCTCTGTGTGAAAAAGGCCATTGCTTCACCAAAGCCATGTGTGTGCTACACGATACTTATGCCGATCCACAGCGACAGTACGTTGCTCTCCGGCAGCTCTACTACTGCTGGTAGTGCTGCTGACATATTCTGTGGGTGCTTTGTATACTTCCTTGGAGTCTCCTTTCTTCTCTGCCCTTAATTCCACATTCATCCTTGCTATTCCTTGCCATGTCACCTGTGTGCCCAGAATGAACAAATGACTGAGGCGCTACTTAATTACACATGCACCATAATATTTCATATGTATTTGGCAGCTTAATGAAATAATGGTGTTCATGAACAACACTTTAGGAGAATCAGTAATTTTAAACTAAGCTGTTTTGTCATTGATTTTCTAAGGGTCTGTCTATATGGTAGAATACCTGAACCAGCTCCAGGTGTGCTGCGTGCCTACAAGCTCACAGAAAGTTACTAGCTTCAGTCCCAGAAGTAAAATAGCCATGCCAATTAAGTGATACATCATGTATTAGTTGTTATCCCTTGGTGGGGATGAAGCACATGATTTATGAGGAGAGACCAAGACAGTTGGGCTTGCTCAGCCTGAGGAAGAGAGGGCTTATTGATGGTTTTAGACATCTAACAGAAGAGTGCAGAGAGAATGGAGGTGCACAGTGAAGGGACAAGATGCAACCCACAAAATTTGCAGCAAGGGAAATTCACATTAGCTATTAAAAAAAAAAAAAAAAAAAAAAGCCACAGTAAGCATGATCTGTGGAATGGGTTTCTCAGAGGGACTGTGGAGTCTCCATCCTCAGAGGTATTTAAAAAACAACTAATCAAGACCTGAACAGCCTGATGTAACTTTGAAGCTGGACTTGCCGTAAAAGCTGTCTGTGCTGAGAGCAAGAGGTGAGAGCAGTTACCTGCAGAGGTCTTTTACACCCTAAACTGTGTGATGACTCTAAACTGCAAAGACAGAGATGCCTGGCTCCCAGCACCCAAGTTACCTGGGTGCACCTGGTGTATTTCTGCAAAACACTGTATTGTACCATGCAAACTGTCTGGTCATTCCCATGAGATCCAACATAAAACCATACTGGTATAAAAAATGTGGTGACAAAGAAAAATACCTCCTTTCCCATTAGAGGTAGACTGTCCAAGCTGACCTGGAGATTTGGGAGCCTGGAAAAGGAGTCCCAAAGACGTGTCTGAGGCATTGTGCAAGGGATGCTCAGCAAAGGGAACTCCGAGGAACTCCTCAACTGCTGGCAGACCCCTGCCCTGCTCTGCAGATGAGCCCAAGAGAGAAGGCAAAGGGAGAAGGGGCCTCTGAAGTGTCAGTGGATGTGACTCTCTAGAGTTAACAGAGAGACAGACCAGACTGGGGACAGTGTAGGGGAGGGTTACTGAGAACTTAAGATGTGGTTTGTTAAAAATGTCCTCCAAGTGCCAGAAGAACTATTTTTCCCTCAGGGCTGCTGGTGCACATGTGAGAAATGTTGCAATGGCTAATTAGAAACATTAGCATTCTCACCAAGGACAACTGGTTTTCAAGATCCCTTTTTTTTTTAAAAAAAAAAAAAAAGAGGAAAGAAACACCACAAAAAAGGAACTCAAAGACTTCTGTAGAGTTATCATCATCACAACATAACTGACAAAACTTCCTAGTCTGTCAAGTGTTCATTGGCTTCAGGAATCTGGAGAACTGCATTAGGTCCCTAAGAGCATCCATGAGTTATTGAAAGCTGGAAGTCCTTCCACAGCAGACTCTGGGGAAAATGTATATCTGTGCAGATACACATAGAAAGTCCAGGTTGTCCATCTCTAGATTCATGTCATGTAGATCTCCTATTTTAAATAACTTTGAAATTTATTTTGTGATTACAACTTCTGCATCAATGAAATTTACTTCATAGAGTGCAAATATTAATACATTGGTGGGAGAGTTTCCAGCACCTCTTCTTTATTTAG